GTCTTTTCTAGAAGCTCCCTCAAAAACGTGCTGAAATTCACTGTGATTGTTCTACCCTTGAATTATTTAATCACTGCTAGTAACAGGGTACCATGGGCTGATTGCCTTAGACCTGGGTCACATGCTCCACCTCTGGACGGGGGTTGTGAAGGTCCAATTGAACCACATGGGTATAGTAGGGAGGAGAGAGAAAAACCCTTCCAAACTAAAATGGGCCTGTTACAGAGAGTGGACGCTAGAAAGGCAATCAACAAATATCCAATCGACCCCCAAGTGACCATCTTGAAAATGCCCAGAAGGAACCAGGTAGTAGAAAATGTCTGGCTAAGGGCCCGTCTTGCCTCAACAGTGGAAAAATAAAACCCATGACTTCTTTTTTTTTTTTTAAAGATTTTATTTATTTATTTGAGAGAGAATGAGAGATAGAGAGCACGAGAGGGAAGAGGGTCAGAGGGAGAAGCAGACTCCCTGCCAAGCAGGGAGCCCGATGTGGGACTCGATCCCAGGACTCCAGGATCATGACCTGAGCTGAAGGCAGTCGCTTAACCAACTGAGCTACCCAGGCGCCCAAAACCCATGACTTCTTGAAAAAAATAGATGATCTTATGATAAGGTGTGGTGTCACCTGTGGTAAGAAGTCACTTCTAATCCAAGAAGCCCAGGGAGAACTCTTTCATTCTCTTTGCTAGGGGACTTCTCAGAAAGTGAGTGTCAGAATGCCCCTTCGTCCATGCTTCATCTGAATAATTGGTCTTGCAACATTATTTCCCCATCATCCTTTAGCAAGGGCTCACCCATTTGTTCCTTTTTTCAGTCATGCTTTGCTTGGCCACAGGTTTCCCCCTTGTGCTAAAGGAAACATCTAGGGGCACCTGGGTGGCTCAGTCGGTTAAGTGTCTGACTCTTGATCTCAGCTCAGGTTTTTTTTTTTTTTTTTTTTTTTGACAGAGAGAAAAAAAGAGAAAGAAAGAACACAAGCAGGGGGAGTGGGAGAAGCAGGTTTCCCGCAGAGCAGGGAGCCCGATGCGGGACTCAGTCCCAGGACCCTGGGATCACGACCTGAGCCGAAGGCAGACGCCCAATGACTGAGCCACCCAGGCGCCCCTCAGCTCAGGTTTTGATCTCAGCTCAGGTCTTGATCTCAGGGTTTTGAGTTCAAACCCCACATTAGGCTCCATGTGAAGCCTATTTAAAAAAAAAAAAAGGAAATGTCTAGCTTGCTTGCTTGCTTGCTTGCTTGCTTGCTTTTTCTGGCTCTTTGATAGTATAATTTAGGAGTGCATTCTGTAGTATAATAGAAAACCCTACTGCACTGGTTTAAACTGATTGGGGGGCGGAAGAGTAGGAAATTTTCATAATAGGGAGCCATGGAAGGGAGGCGGTCAAGAACTGATCCAGTAACTCAAGAATGCTATCAAGAACACAGGCTTTTTATACATTTTCAATCCCAAATCCTTAGCATAGGTACCCTCATGCTCAGGCTAGATCCTCATGGTTGCAAGATGGTTTATGTTCATGTTGCAGTCAGAAAGAAGAGAGAAAGGTCAAAGGTGTGTGTGTGCTGTTTTTGTTTTGTTTTGTTTTGTTTTGGTTTAACGTGAGGTCTTGTGTTTTTATTGGAGAAGTATTGAATGATGAATTTCTAAAAGAATAAAAGCGTGACTCTTATCATAAAATAAACAAGTGTCAAATATTTTATTTCACTGATTAATAAGGAAATCAGTAAGATGTTGGAACCAATTCAAAGGAGAATTCTTGAAAACATTCGCACATAGGCAATCATATACACATACACAGGCACTCGAGAATGCTACAATGAATTTACAGACAGGTGGAAAATTAGTCAACAGAGAAATAATCGATTGCAGCTCCACCAGACACAATTCATTTGCATTTCTATGGACAAGAGCCAATTGCATTCCTATCAGTTTTCCACAATTTACAAAATTGTAAAATAGCTCAAAGATAGTGAAAGTTGGAGATGACACCAAAGAGTGCTAGGACACCATATATTTGTCCATTTAAAAATCTTTCACAATGTTTCCTGACAGAAGGGATGCCCCCCCAACCATCTACCCATATCTCATTGACCAGAGTTGTGTCATATAGTTACCTTCATTGCAAAGGAGGCTGGAAATCAAGCCTCTAGCTGGACACACTGCTCTCTCAAGCGAAGTAGGATTCCGTTAGTAAGGGAAGTCTGCCTCATCTATATACCCACTTGATGTAACTGCACTAGATTACTTAATAATTTTTAGCATACATGAGTATGAGGATGACTACAGTGGACACCTGTTGTTTTGATACTTTAACGTCATTCCCCCTTCTGGTCACAGTACTTCATATTTCCTTTAGGCTGTACCCTGTCTCCACTCTCTAAACCCAGCTCTAAAGGTGAACACTTGACTCTGGGCTTGTTTAGTTATGGTGATTGATTTGATGCAGCTGGATCCAGGCCAATTAGACTTCAATCTTTGAAATTTCACTGGAATGAAAGTGTGATTTAGGTTAGAAAATAGTAATATTTAAGCCTAAAGGTGTTTAGTCAATTTCCTGACAATGCTTGGTGCACAAGTGGATGCCTATATTCTTTGCAATAATCCCACTGCTCCTCAAAGAGTCTGTGGCTTCCTGGTGAGAAACCTCGGGAAGTTTATTTAGTATGTTGCTCCTGCTTTTAGAATTTGAGAGTTTATAGGCTGTAGTGTGTGCTAGGAAGTTCAAGTCTGGGTTTGAATGCCAGTGGTGTCAGGCACAGTCTGCCCAGAAAGTAACCCCATCTAAGTATTTAAAGCAGGGCACAGGGCGGGGGGGGGGGTCATTCAGGGGATTAGTTACCTGGGAAATAAAGCATTGCAAAGCTAGCCAGACGGGATTGAGGCAATTCAGAGATTAACAGCAGCAAGAAGCCACCAATCACCACTGCCAGGCTACAGATTAGATCCAGGAGGATATTATGTTACAGATACCCAGGGTCTGGGATCCCCTAACAATACAGAGGGAGAACCAGTTACGTCAGAGTTGCTGCTCACAGGGGTGGGGTGGGATGGTTAGGAAGGTGGCTGTTCCTATTGCTGCCTCCTGCTGGCTGAACCTAGCTGGAAGCTCAGGAATAAGAAGGCCTGGGAATGTCTCTGGGGGTCCAGCACCCCCTTTTTAAGAAGCAGAACAGGAAAAGGGTGAGGAATGGAACTGAAGCCATTGGGTCCACTACACAGGACTGGCCACTAAGCCATATTTCATCACATCTAAGATGCCATTGATTATGGGATGCCATTATTTTATGCATTCCAAAGAAAGAAAAAAGCTGTCAATTAAACTATGATACAATGCTAAAACTTCATCCATTGCAATGTGTCTTGGTATGAGATATTAAAATGTGAAAAAATATACATCTTAAGTTCAATAAAATATGCTATTAGCTGTGTGATCTTTTTTTAATATATTTTTAAAAGATTTTATTTATTTATTTGGCAGAGAGATACAGAGAGAGAACAAGTAGGCAGAGAGGCAGGCAGAGGGAGAGGGAGAAGCAGACTCCCAAGGAGCAGGGAGCCCGATGTAGGACTCGATCCCAGGACCCTGGGATTATGACCTGAGCCGAAGGCAGCCGCTTAACTGACTGAGCCACCCAGGCGCCCCTAGCTGTGTGATCTTAAGCACGTGTCAACTTAATTCATTTCCACATTTGAGCTACGATTTTACCATCTGAAATTGAAGACAATACCTACCTCATGGGGTTATTGTAAGGATTAAATCAGCTAACCCTTTTAAGACTGTTAAGTTTAGCAAGAGTAGGCTCTTTGTCTCTTGTTCATTGTATCCCCTGTGCCCAGCACAGTGCTTGGCGCATAATAGGAACTCAAGAAAATTTTGTGGAATGAATCCACCTGGACTCTATATTCCCAAATGATCAAGGTTATTGGCACATAGTGGCAGGTGGGTGTCAATAAATGGAAGTTATTATTGGAACAGAAAACTATTATTATTGGAATCAATGATGTTTGGGAACAAGATCTTTGGTTACTTAGAATTGACTCTTCTGTGGGGGAGTGGGAGGACTCCTCATTTATTTAAGAAAGATGTCAGAGTGGACGCCACAGTCTCTGGTGGAAAAGATTATGCCAGATGGCTTTGTGCACACAAAGTAAATCGTGAGCAGAAAATTTAAGGGTGGTGGTGGCGGCAGCAAAAGAAGTTGGCAGGGAAGGAGGGGAATGAGGTGGAAGACAGAATATAGAAGAGCAACCTCCACCAGCTACAAAGCACGTTTTGGTCATCATTTTCCTAATCCTCATAGGTCTGCAAGCACCGTAGTGTTGTTCCCATTTCACAAATGGGACTCAGGGGGAACAAGGTTAGGAAGGGATTTTCCCGAATGAAAACAACCAGATGGAAGCAAAGCTAAGACGCCCCGCGTGTGGTTATGTCTACCCAGCTTCTGGCTGCTGAGAGAAAGCCTGAGACCGGAGAGATTAATTTCAATTTGCAACACATGTAAGGATAGGTAAATACGAGGAAGGTGATGAAAATAGCTGTTAGTGTAGTGAGATTATGGGTGATGAGAACAATCTCTGTAGCGTTGACATTATCTTTTCAAGAATAATTCAGCCAATGTAGGGAAAGGTGTTGAAACCAAACGCCTTTCCAGCTGCCATCTCCCCGCGAAGGAGTGACTTATCCAACAGGCTGGAGGTTAGTCAGGACTCCAGGATGCACCCCAGACGCAGGGCAACATTCCCCAGCTCATTAATAGGGAGTCATTGATGACCTCAGCGCACGTCCCCACTTTGCTATCCGCGCCCGCTTCCACGCGCCGCACGCCGACCGCCCATTCTCTCACGCGGGTAACGAGCACCGCCTACTGGAAGTCAGCCGCTCGGCGGTTTGGCCCCGCCCCCGAGCAAAACGCGCATGCTCCTCAATTCCCCTTCGCCCCCACCTCCAGGCTTCTCGCGACAGCCGCCCAGCGGCGGCCTGAATCTCGCGATAAAGGCTTATTGTCTCGCGGGACCGCGGCTGGCAGACGGGCTTTCAGGCGGCCCTGGCCGTGGAAGAGGAGTTGCATGTGTCGCTTCAGCTGGCGGTAGTGGCGGGAGCGGAGGCGGCGGGGGTTGTGCGACCGCCCGGGTAACGACCCCTCGTGCCTCTCCCTCTTCCGAGAAGCTCGTAGAGAGCGTGGGGGAAGCCGAGGTGCTGCCCGGCGGAAGGGGGCCGGGCCGGGCGTCTCCACACCCCCGCCCACATGGGCCCCTCTGGTGTCCCCGGGATTGCCCCTTCGCCTCAGATCTTCCCCTAACTCTTGGCCGCCTTTGTCGCCCCAGTGCTCTTACATTCTGCCCCTTGCTGGTTCTTTTGTCCCTATTTTCTCTCTTCAGATTCTGGTTTCCCCGCCCCCTCCCACTCCCATCCCCTTCCCTGATTCCTGTGGCCCTCTCTTGGCGTTGAGCTGCCCGCACACCCTGTACTCTGGGCACCTCTAGTCACCCACCCCTTTTTCGTAGGCTTTTCCAGCCTCTTTTCGTCCAGCTGCTTTGTGGCCTTTATTGCTGAGGTTGCATCCCTTCCAGATCACCCCCAGACCTTTTGTCCCGTCACTGCGGATCATCCTCCCCATCTTATTATTCCATTGCTTCCTCTTTCCGCCCCCCCCCCCCGCCCCAATTCTTCACGGTCCTTTTGCTACTGGCACTTGCTTCCCTGTAGACCTGTGGAGCTGGTAATGGTGCGCCCGGAATTGCTCATATTTTATGGATCCTAATGCAGCTTTTATCCTTCACTTAAAAACAGAATTGGAACAAATTTAGGGTTGAGGTATTTCTAGTGGGAGGAGGTGAGGCTACACCTGAACACTGCCTTTTTGGGGTCTTGGTCCAAAATAGTGAAAATGTGTTATTTTCCTTGCTTACAGGTTTGTGAGATGGCTGCTGATATTTCTGAATCCGGTGGGCATGATTGCAAAGGAGACCCGAGGGGCAATACCAAGTTAGATGCAGACTACCCACTTCGAGTCCTTTACTGTGGAGGCAAGTGTTACAGAGCAGAAAATGGCTTTTGCTCACTTTATTTTTATGCATTGTAATAGTAGTATCACATTTGATTCTATTAATCCTTTTCTCATCTGTCTTTGGGAAATCCTTAATTGGGGGCGGGGGGGGGCGTTGGTAAGGCAGGGGAGGCATGGGTTAACAGATTTTCTAGACCCGTATGACTTTTGCCTTGCTACTTGGCCTGGAGAAGCTTCCGGTCCAGTTGGAATAGAGACATGCAAATAGATTATTTCAACCTAATGCTACTTGATAGTCTGGCTACTAAAGGAGGACCTCTTGGGAGATACTGAGTCTGAAGAGATGACAAGGACTGGATGAGGAAGTGGGGAAGGGCATCCCAGATGAAGTGAATGGCTATGCAAGAAAAGACTTGATGCACGTCTGTGGAGAAATGAGCAGCTTTGGATTAGTATAGTGTGGATATAGTATAGGGAGGGTATCAGGAGTGGGAGATGATGAGGTTGGAGCGATGGGTCGTAGGACAGTCTTGGGGAAGTCTTCTTGGTTTGATTAATAATACATGTATTAGATTGAATCTGGATTCTTTTTTTTCTTGGAGTGTTCTTCCTCATTTTCAATGCAGAAATATTTGTGAATTGGAAATGCTCTAATTTTATTAGCATTTTGGAAAGTTTTAGAAAAATTCGAAGGTACAGGACAGCAAAGGGGCAAGTAAGTACTGATTTTTTTCAGGAAATATTTTTGACCACTTACTCTGTGCCTCGCAGTGTTTTAGGTGCTAGGGACTGAGTAGTGAGTGAGTAAGTCAGGAAAGGTCCTTGTGTTTGGAGAATTTACATTTTGTGAGTGTAATAGAGACATCATCTGGAGTTTAAGTACTATAGAAGGAGTGGGATGTCACTGAGTTAAAAAATTTTGTCAACGTGCCATTTATTGAATATCTTGGGGAGTAAAAATTATTATAAAATACCTCCGTAAGAATAAGGCAGGGGAACTTTTTGTAGGATTGATTGATTTTTGTTACAGTATTGGTCTTATTTGGTCATCTTGTTTGCCTTTGGAGTCGCAGACCAGGGACTGCATCCTGATTCCAGCATTACTAGTTATGTGACCTTGGGCAAGTTACCTAATTCAATTAAGGATTAAAGGTCTGTTTCTTAAGGTCTGTACAATGAAAATGATAATTATATCCTAAGTCAGGTGATTTGTATAAAGCTTCTGGTGTAGCAACTAACACAAGAACATAGTACAGTAAGTTTTATTATTAGATAAGTATACTAGTTTAGTATGGTTTATTTATCTTTGTCAGATGTAGTTAAGAGCTGTTGTTCTTTGTACCCTATTTTATCTAATCTAAGACTCCATATTTTATAAGTCGCCACTATTTTATGTTCCACTTAGAAAAAAAAACTCACATTGACATGCCGTAACTATAAGGTGTATCCCTATTAAAATGAAGAAAACTTAGGATTGATGAAATACGGCATATGAAAACCATCTTATTAAATTGCTTATGTGACTGCTAAGGTGACTTGAACAACTGCACTAAATATGCAAACCACCCCGGTGATAATTTGTGTTGACCAGCAGTCCCTAACCTTTTTTTTTTTTTTTAAGATTTTATTTATTTATTTGACAGAGAGAGACACAGCGAGAGAGGGAACGCAAGCAGGGGGAGTGGGAGAGGGAAAAGCAGGCTTCCCGCTGAGCAGGGAGCCCGATGTGGGGCTCGATCCCAGGACTCCGGGATCATGACCTGAGCCGAAGGCAGACACTCGATGACTGAGCCACCCAGGCGCCCCAGTCCCTAACCTTTTTGAGAAAGGTTTATTTTCATTTCCCTTCCTAGTTTGTATTGATATTCCAGGCACTAAGCTGGGGACAGGGTTACTTCCTCAAGGAGTTTACGGTCTAGTTGTAGAAGCACTTAGGGTAAATTAAATAGTACTGATTATAACTATGAATTAGGAGTTGAGGAAAAGGAGGGATCTTTGTTCAGAGGAAGTAGGGTAATGTCCAAGGAAATGAGAAGCCTTAGATAAAGGGTAGAATTTGTAAGGAAAGGTGAAGGAATTCATAAGAACAGTATGGTGGTAAGATTTAATATGGTGTCTTCAGGAGAGAGGGAAAAGAAAGGGCTTATTGGAACAGAGTGCTGGTTGGAGTAGAGTGAGAAACGGGTAGGTAGAATGGGGTCATTTCTGGGGAGACATTTTGTCTTCTTGATTGTGACTTCAGACTCAATCTGTGTTTGAATCCTGGCTCAGCCATTTACTTACTTGTGTGACCTTGGCTAGTTCCCTCATCTATTAAGGAGCCTACTTCAGAAGGCTGCCGAGAAGAATGAATAATACTCCCAAAGGCTCCACCTCCTAACACCATCACATTGGATAAAAGGATTTCAACATAGTAATTTTGAGGGGACACAAACATTCAGACCATAGCAGAAGGTTTTATGGCTGATGATGCCTTGTTCTTCATGTTGCATCACATCAGCAAGTACATAACGTCAGGTTATTGCACTATTAGTGATGTGAAGGTTTGTTTTTTGTTTTTTTCTTAAGATTTTATTTATTTGAGAGAGATAATGAGAGAGAGAGCATGAGAGGGGGGCAGGTCAGAGGGAGAAGCAGACTCCCCGCCGAGCAGGGAGCCCGATGCGGGACTTGATCCCGGGACTCCAGCATCATGACCCGAGCCGAAGGCAGTCGCTCGACCGACTGAGCCACCCAGGTGCCCAGTGATGTGAAGTTTGATGGTAGCTACTAGATCTGTGTGTCGAAAAGCTATGGTTTGCAGAAAGGGAAATTGACTTTATTTTATTTTATTTTAAGATTTTATTTATTTCAGAGAGCGAGCACAAGCAGGGGGAACAGCAGGCAGAGGGAGAGGGAGAAGCAGGCTCCATCCCAGGACCCTGGGATCATGACCTGAGCCAAAGGCAGATGCTTAACTGACTGAGCCACCCAGGCGCCCTGGGAAATTGACTTTACAAGCAAGTGACAGTGAATTGTCCAAATGTTCCCATTGCATTAGAATTTTGTTGAACTGAATATTCTTTGAAATGGTGTACAAAGGTTTATAGCTTTAGTATTTGCTGTAATGGTATTTAACCTATAATTCTGTCCTGAAAGTGTGGCTGAATATCTGTACCTACTTGTATTTGAACTTGAGCTACTGAGGGTTGTAGAGCTCTGGTTAACCAGGGAGAGCTTTGGTGGAAAGGTCTCCACACTTGAAATAAAGAGGTGCTACATTCCAGTTTTCTTCTGCCACATACCTACCACCTTTTTTTTTTTAAAGATTTATTTGAGAGAGAGAGAGAGCACGAGAGGGAAGAGGGTCAGAGGGAGAAGCAGACTCCCGCTGAGCAGGGAGCCCAATGTGGGACTCGATCCCAGGACTCCAGGATCATGACCTGAGCCGAAGGCAGTCGCCCAACCAACTGAGCCACCCAGGCGCCCACATACCTACCACCTTTGTCCTTGGCTGAGCTATTGAACCTTTTTTAGAGCTTCATCTATAAAAAAGTGATGGTGGGATGAGGAAGAGGCCAACCACTGTCACGTGGCTGGCACACAGCTACGCTATCTCTGTGTGTCATGTAATCTGATTTCGTGGTTAAGAGCTTCAGAAACTGACCATCCTGTTCTAACCAGATGCTGCAGGTTATTTTACCTAACGGTAATGCAGATGTGGTGATTCTTACTTACAGGGTGGTGACGATGACACATAATCATATAACGATAATTGCTGTGATGAGTAATGGTGCACCACCCCTCTTCTCCCTCACAAATCTCAAGATATTGGGCACACTGAACTACTCAGTTGTTTCCCTTAAAAGTAAAAAAAAATAGTTGACCTGGTAACAGAATTCTGTTTACAATCTGGAAACCTTTTGAGTTCTTTTGGTTCTTTAGCCCATGGAGCCTGTACGAGGACAAAATTGAACCTGCGTTCCCTCTAGCTTTACAGTTGCACGATCTGAAAGCACATTATGAAAAAGAAAAGGAAACGTATATTGCAAAGAAATGGTAGCAAAAGTGCTACTGAAGTCTATAAATATGTTAGTATGAATAAAAACTGGTGGCTGTTTTGGTAAAACTATCAAAGGAAATAACCAGTTCCTTTCAAGCTGTGTTGTATTGGGAATTGTTCTCAGCTTAACTTCAGACCCATTGAGATAGTTACGGTAAAACTTTAAGATATGCAGGCTAATATAGTTTGATGTTCCATCCACTGAGGTTATGGTGTTCTTTAGATTAAAAACAAAACAAAAAAAAATTAAGAGCCTATCTCATATGAACCATGTGCCTTTTACCTCAAAAAAAAAAAAAACCATGATGGGTGGTATTTGAAAAGTGATACAGAATTACAGGAAAAAGTAGAAATGAAGCATTTTGTCCAATTTAAAAGGATGAACCATGTGTGTTTATATATAATTTTCTAATCTTTTTTCTCTCCATTTCCCCAGTTTGTTCATTACCAACAGAGGTAAGTCCTTTTAAAATTCTTTTCTTTTTTTTTTTTTTTTAAAGATTTTATTTATTTATTTGAGAGAGAGAGAGAGAGAATGAGAGATAGCACGAGAGGGAAGAGGGTCAGAGGGAGAAGCAGACTCCCTGCTGAGCAGGGAGCCCGATGTGGGACTCGATCCCAGGACTCCAGGATCATGACCTGAGCCGAAGGCAGTTGCTTAACCAAGCCTGAGCCACCCAGGCGCCCTAAAATTCTTTTCTTTTTTTAACTTCTTCATTTGAGGTCATTGACTTTAGAACTAGCCTGAGAACTTTTTTATTTTTCATGTTCTGTCATTTGATAGTAGAGTTTCAACTTTTATAGAAACTTTGGATTGGAATTATTTTATGGTCTTACAAATTGTTTTCTTTAGACTTTGTATCATATGTGTACATCTTTTGTACTTGGCTATCCAGTTTGGACTTCTGCTTGGAACTTATGAATAGTTACGTAATAAAACAAGAGTAGCCTTAAAGCCAAAAATCTAATGTATAAGCAGAGGAAAGCATAAATTAAAATTATAGGATTTTCTGTTAATATGCTTCTGAGTCAGCATCTGTGGGCAAGTCACAAAAATAGACACCTGTGTGCCCAAAGCAAGAAATGAACATGCTCGTTTTTTTTGTTTGCTCCTTTTTCTAATGGCCCTTCTCTTTGATGCAACAAAAAATACGTTACTACAGTGAGGAGGTGCTTAATCCTTTTTAAATTCTAATTTTTTATGGGGCATTTCCTGGTCAAACACAGAATTCCTGTGGATAAGATATCGGGTGGGAGTAGTTGGTTTCATCATTCTTAATATAGCAAATATAGGGAAGGACTTAATTAAAATGTATTGGTTGATTGAAAATGTTCTGTTGTGACGCAGTTTGTTCTCCCCCCCCACTCCCCCAGTACTGTGAATATATGCCTGATGTTGCTAAATGTCGACAGTGGTTAGAGAAGAATTTTCCAAATGAGTTTGCAAAACTTACTGTAGGTATGAACATTTTTTTCTCTAATCTGAAAGCTTGTATTTCTGAAACAAATGCACATAAGGCATTATTTTAAAGATAAGAAAGTGCTCCTTTAGTAGGATATTACAGAATTGTATTTATACCTATTAGCTTCAAAACCATTTTATATTCTTGGGTTAAAATTCCTTATATAGAACCACACACTGCTTCATGTGTCTTATCTGAGACAGTTTAGGATAACTTCTTATAAGAAGAGTAATGGTTTAGGAGCAAATGTATTTTCATTCATTCATTTAACAAATTATTTCTTGTGAGCATACTATATGCTACACTTTGTTTTAGATGTTTAGGATAAGGCAGTGAACAAAAGATCTATTTGAAAATTATATTCTAGAATGGGAGACTAAGTAAAATAAGAAATAAGTATGTTAAATCGTCGTGAGCAGGGAATAGGGAGATAAGAATTGTTGGGGAGAGAATTCGAAGTTTTAGGTAGTGGCAGGAAAGATTTTGCTGAAAAAACTGCATTTGAACAAAGACCTAAAGGAAGTGAGGGAGTGAGTCATTTGGATATCTGGGAGAATATTCCAGGTGTGGGGCAAGTGCAAAGGCCCTGAGGTAAAAGCTTACCTGTCATATTCAGGAAACATCAAGGAAGCCTTTGTGTGTCTGGAGCTTATTGAAGAAGGGGGGAGAGAAGGGTCAGAGATGAAGTCAGAGAGAAGTAATGGAGGACCATACCTTAAAGGTCTAGTCTTGGCTTTTTTTTTTTTTTTTTTAAGATTTTTATTTATTGCAGAGAGAGAGCAGGGGGTGGCAGGGGTCAGAGGGAGAAGCAGACTCCCCGCTGAGCAGGGATGGAGTCCGATGTCCCCGACGTCAGACTCCATCCCAGGACCCTGGGATCATGACCTGAGCTGAAGGCAGATGCCCAACCGAATGAGCCACCCAGGCGCCCCTAGTCTTGGCTTTTACTCAGAATGAGATGTGGAGCTCTTGGAGAGATTTGAGGAGAAGAGCAATAAGGTCTGACTTTTGTTTCAACATCTGTTTGGCTACTGTGCTAAAGAACAGACTGAAGAGGGGCCCAGGCAGTAAAGGGAGACCAGATGAGAGGCTGTGGCTGTAATCGTGTCAGGAGACCATGGTGACCTGATCAGAATGGTAGCAGTGGAGGCGGGGAAAGTAGGCAGGTTCTCGATGTGTTTTGAAGGTAGAGCTGACAGGGCTTTCTGATGTGCTGCATGTGGGATGTGAGAAAAGGAGGCATCTAGGGTTTTGGCAACTAGAAGAATGGAGTTGCTGTTGCCAGTGGAAGGGAAGACGGAAGGAACAGATTTCTTCATTTTGTTAAAACTGTGGCTTCTCTTACGAGATTGGTGGAAATGAAGGCAGTAGCAGGAAGAAGGGAAAGCCTGGGCTGGAAACAGTCGTGTCAGATGTACCTGATGCTATTCCACTATTTGCTGCTTTGTCAGATTGTTTCCAAGAGGCACAACCCCTGAAACTTCATAGAAGGCCTTTCTGGATAGTAGCCACAGTCATCATCCGTGGTTGGATAAGAACCTTAAAGTTGGGTGTTACAGTCTGCGTGGTCATGGTCAGCCTGGGACATGACCTGCCTAGGACATGATAAGACCTGAGGAAGGAGTCTTCTTAGGCCCAGACTTCCTGTTACCTAGATTAGTATGTTTAGATGTAAACATGCCTGCAGAGTCTGAGTGTTTTGTTCTCCTTTCATGTGCTAAAAAGATCCTAATCTTCACATATCAAAGACTTTGTTTTGTCTTCTGTCACCATGGACTTAATAATGACCAGAATTAGACTGAATGGGAATTTAGCAATATAATCATTTGCATTATAAATGGCATGTTGTTGTTGGCAAGATGCCTTCTTTGTGTATGAAGTTGCTCAAAGGTGATTTTTTAAAGGTTATTTTGAAGTAATGTTAATGCTTTGGATTTCATTGTTAACGTCTAGAAAATTCACCAAAACAAGAAGCTGGAATTAGTGAGGGTCAAGGCACAGCAGGGGAAGAGGAAGAGAAGAAAAAGCAGAAGAGAGGTAAGGGCTAAATCCATGGCTTGATTTATATAAAGACACCTTCCCTCTGTCAGAGGAAATACATAATGAGCACAGTCCCAAAGCCAGTAATGTGTCCCTGCTGCTGTAGTTCCATATGTATACCCTACAGAGCGACACAGAATCATATACTCAGGATGACTGGATGTCATATGATTTGGGCTTTTACAGTAAATTGGACCTAAGAAAATATGCTTTATTTGCTGTATATATATGCAAAAAGCAACCAACCAGCTTGTTGATGACTTGAAAACTTTACCTTATTAAAATAGAGTTGAGGACATTGATAAAAGATTTTATTCTCATTATGTTGTCAGCTCAGTTGAATTTTTTTTTTTCAATAGCTGTTGTGTATAACTGCCTACCTCCTTAAAATGAATTCCTGTGCTCTGGATCCTGTCCCTGCCTGTTTCTTCTGCCTTAATTATTCTCCCCTATGACTAAAATTAGCTTATAAATAAGGACTCTGCATCTTTCAAGAGAAATTCCTCCAAGAGCCCATGTCTTTGCTTTTATCCCTTGCCCTGCCCTTCTTAGCCAGACTTGTAGTAAGATTAGACTCACTGTTCTTGCTCTTCTGGCCTTCATTGCTCATGCTTCATTCTGTCCTTAAGCTGACTGTCACACCACTGAAATTCCTCTAATAGAGGTCATCAGTGGCTCAGTAATGGCTAAGCAATAAGAGCATTTGAGCACGCCCTTTTTTGAAATGCCATACTTCCTTGTTTTAATTTTTATTGTTATGTTAATCACCATATATTACATCATTTGTTTTTGATCATACTTCCTTGGTTTTTGCACAGCCTTCTTTCCTCATCCTCCCTGTCAATCCTCTTCGGTCTTCTGTGCAGACTTCTCTTCTCCTTTCTGTCCCTAAAAAGTTGTTATTTCCCAGGATCCTATGCTCGGCCATCTTACCTCCTCATTCTGCAGTTTTCTCCCTGAATGATTCTTTCACATCCCTAACTTCTAACACCACTCTACATTTGAAATTCCTGAATCTGTACCTCTGGTCCTGGCCCGTGTCTCTAGACTAGCAATGTGCACGGTCCCACAGGCACTTCAAATGCAGTATTTCCAAGAAAACCAAACTTACTAAGTCCCAAATCTGTATCTTTTGGTTAATGACAGCATACTTTATCCATTCATCTGAGCCAGAACCTGACATTCATCTTGGGTTCTCTTTCTTTGCTCCCCTCCCCCCCCTTTTTAAGATTTTATTTATTTATTTGTCAGAGAGAGAGGAGAGAGAGAGATCACAAGCAGAGGGAGTGGCAGGCAGAGGGAGAAGCAGGCTCCCTGCTGAGCAGGGAGCCTGATGCAGGGCTTGATCCCAGACCCTGGGATCATGACCTGAGTGGAAGGCAGCTGCTTAACTGACTGAGCCACCTAGGCGTCCCTTCTTTGCTCCTTTTAATCAGTATTTTTAAATAGTCATCTTCCTTAATTTATTTAGTACTAATTATTTTTAATTCCGTTTAATCAGTTGTAAATTCTGTTATTTCTCCTCCTTACTCTACCCTGTGCCTAATCACCATTACTGTTACCACTGCTTTGTTAGATTTTGATTAATTTCCACCTGAACTAATGTAGGAGCCTCCAGTAGCTCTCTGTCGGCCTTATTCCTCAAAGGCTCACCCTTCATGGTATAGAGTGATCTCCTAAAACCTAAATCTGTTTTTTTCCACTCCTGTATTCATTCAGTGGCTTTTCTTCGGCCTTAATATAAAATCAAATAACAGAGCTTGATGTGCTGGTCCTTTAATTTAATCGTTTGCTCTTTTGGCTTTATCCCCTACATATCCATAAGCATCCTTCATTGAGACAATTGTAGTTCTCAAGTATAATGCCTTCTCTTATCTTTGTACTTGTTCCCTTCTCCTGGGATATCTTTTCTTACCATATCTCTCCAGCTCTTCTGCTTTCCTCTGGACAGTTCCTTCTACAAGAACTTAGATGCCATTTCTTCTGGGAAACCTTTTCTGTCCTCCAGAAGCTAAGTAAGCCATTCCTCTGCAAGCTATGGTGGTGCAGTATTCATGGTTCCTGTTACAGTATATATCAGTTGCAGTAATTATTAAACTTTTTTTTGTCTCCTTCACTTGACTGAGAGTCCCTGGAGGGCAGGGACTATGTTTTCTTCTGTTCATCTTTTTGTCCTCAACCCTTAGTGCAGTGCTTGGACATAGTACTTAATAAATATTTATTGAATGAATACTCATGCATGTGTTTATTAGTTTTGTGTTAGAAGAAGAAACTTTAGAAATTAATATTTGGTAACTTTTGAAAATTAATAAGCTGAAAGACGGTATTTATGTTAAACCCAAAACAATGCGGAGCTCTTTTTTTTTTTTTTACATAAATAAAGGTGGAAGGGGTCAAATAAAGCAAAAAAAGAAGACTGTACCACAAAAAGTTACAATAGCCAAAATTCCTAGAGCAAAGAAGAAATATGTAACAAGAGTATGTGGCCTTGCAACTTTCGGTGAGTTCAAGTTTAAGTATGTTTAAAATGTGTGAATTGTATTCTCTCTGTTGCTCTCTGCCCCTCTCCCTCCCTCTTTCTGTGTCTTGCCCTTTCTGTCTCTTTTTTAATCTGGCATCATGAAAATTTCATAGGTCTATTTTTCGCTAAGACGATACAAAATGAGATTTTGCATGTCTAACTATAGCTTCGAAATCAGATTTTGAAGAAATTGAAAAATGTTTTGCAAAGGGAACTAGTTTAACTTTTTCCTTTTCAGAATACCTGCTTGGGCACATTTTATGTGGAATGAGGAGGGCTAGGTAGGATTCCCTTTGAAGCCTATCGGTACTGCTCCTCTGTCCCTGCGGGCTAGATGGCAAAAGGCTGCACAATGGCTTGTGCCCTCTGGGAACAGTAGTAGAGGGTGAGGGAATGTGGGTATCAGCAGAATGTCCTGCTTCAGAGCTCCTTCTGAAGGCCTTGAATGAACAGTGAAATTATAAACCAAGGTCCCTTCCTGTGACAAGACAGTTGAAAAACAGTCATTAGAAAGTAGGTTTGTTTCCCTTCTGTAACTATTTCTCTTGTAAAAAAGGATAAATGAAAGAACTTCATTGTACTTGGAAATGTATATGTAATGCTTGGAATTAATGTGTTCCTGGATTTATTTTGGTCTTAACCATATGAGTTATGAATAGTATGAATAATGCTTTGTGTGTGTGTGATAGGATGCATCTTTTTAAAATTTATTTAAATTTTTACTTAAATTCAATTAATCAACATATAGTGTATTATTAGTTTCAGAGGTAGAGTTCAGTGATTAAGCAGTTGCATATAACACCCAGTGCTCATTACATAATGTACCCTCCTTAATGCCCATTACCCGGTTACCCCATCCCCCCAAATAGCGCTATTTTTATGTACTGAAGCTTTATTTGACCTTGAAAATATAAGTTGAATGGTTAAGACCACTGCCTGTGGTAGTTTGTAATTATCATGAAAGGAATATAAAACCCATTAAGGTAATCTGTTTTATGAAATTAAGATACAGATTAAATTTCAAAATGGAAAAATATCTTTGATACACAATTCCAATTATAGTCTTGTTCTTTCTCTTTTTTAAATAACAGAAATTGATCTTAAAGAAGCACAAAGATTTTTTGCTCAGAAATTCTCCTGTGGTGCCTCAGTAACAGGAGAAGATGAAATCATCATTCAGGGAGACTTTACAGATGACATAATTGATGTCATTCAGGAAAAATGGCCAGAGGTGAGTAGGTAGAACATGTGCACCTGTGGATATAAGTTTTTAAAGCAAGTTGCTTCCATGTTACCTGATACCACAATTCATGAGATGTAATTATTTGTTTTATAGGTGGATGATGATAGCATCGAAGATCTTGGAGAAGTAAAGAAGTGATTTTGAAAATTTGTCTCTATTTAATGATCTGAACTGAGAGTTGATATGGCCAAAGGGAGAGAGGCCTTTTAAAAATATATATATTTATCCTACAGTAAAACTGTAGATTACCCTCACCCTTGGCATTTTCACTGTTCTGTATAAGGCTGCTTGTTTTTTTTATTGCCAAAGTCTAATAAACAGGGGAGACTGTCATGCTTATGCATGAAGTAGAATTTAGTCAAATAAAAATTTTTGGTCATTTGGTACTGACTTTTCTCTTTCTCTTATTAACTTTTTATTTTTGGAAAAACACTAGATTTTTTGTGCAAAGCTTTTTTGTTTATTAAAAATCATGATTTAATGAAATCATGATTTAAGGCTGAGTAATATTTTAAAGGATTTGAATTTTGGCTTCATCACCATTAATAACTGTCTCCTTGCTTCTTTGGTGTGATACTTTTGAGATGCTTGGGCATCTGATAGATTTGTGGTTGAATTTGCTTCATTGTTACCAACCAAGTCCACTTCGTGGTCACATTAACTTAATGTTGGTAGGAGTTGTTCACACTCTTCTGGAGATTATTTGGTAAAGTATATTAAAGCCTTAAAACCATCTGCAGTCTGACCCAGTAAGCCACTTAATTGACACTATCCTAAAGATAGAATCATTCTTGCTTAAAACTGTGGGTGAGGATGCTCATCACAATGTTACTCATAAATGCAAAAAAATTACAACTGATAAATGAACGATTGGGAAATGGTTAAAGAATGATGGTGCACCATATGGTAGAATATTATGCATATATTTTTAAATATTTTCCAAAAATATTTTGGAAACCTGTTTGGTGATTTTAAGTGGGGAGCAGACCCCAAATTCATTTTATACGTTATCACCACCTTTGTTTTGAGTGGAAGGCCATTCAGGGATGCTGCTGAGTTCTTGTTCTAGCATTCTGCTAGCCAACTGAAAAGAATATACACCGATACTCACTATAAATATGGTCTGGGAAATAGCAATTGAAATGAGTCTTTCTCAGAAGAGAAACAGTGACAGTGAATTTTGATGAATGCACTGAATGAATTTAAACTTTGTTTTTATAAAGGTCTTAAGTCAGGCTCTACAGATTGAAAAGAAGACTCCTGTTATTTTAAATCGCTATAGACACCTTTAAGAAATTTAGAACCCATTGTTTATTGCCATGCAAATTACAACCTTGAATGCGTGGTTTTTTAAATAATTAAAATCTTAAGAAAAAATGTGTAATAAAGATGCAAATTAAGAAAACAAAATTCTGCATTAACTGAATTTTACTAAATAGGAGTATCTGATGAAGCAAATTTATCCATCAAGACCATTTGGTATGTGTTGTGTATGTATTCTGTTGGTGCTGGAAGATGTCTGTGCCTGTATCAACTATGTGACTTCATGTAAAGATTCTCAGTGTTCACAGTTCTTGGCAAATGCAGTTTTAATCCATATAAAGCCAGCAGTGGATGTTACTGCAGGATAATGGAGGATTAAAATTGTCCTTGTGTATAACATGTGTGAATCTTTTTCTTTGACCTGAAATTTAAAATGGAGCATTAGTTTAATCTGATTAAAATGTGCTAAATTCAAGGATTGACTTTAATTCATACATTCTCTTTATTATGTAAATGTTTTTGCAGTCTAGTATTTTTAGCAAAAAGAGTACTAACCTTTAAACAGCCTTATGTCATAATCGTAAACGATTTGCCGCAGTTAAGCTGGCAGGACTCCCATCTCCGGACCCTAAGATCACGACCTGAGCCAAAACCAAGAGTTGGATGCTTAATGACTGTGCACCCCAGGCGCCCCATAAATCTTAAAAAAAAAAAGATACAAGGTAGCTTTCTTACACTTAGTTAAAAATTTGATAAATTGCAATTTTAAAGATGAAGTCTACCATTTAGATCCTGTTTTTGTTATTTTCTAAATTAGGAAGTAAGGTAGGGAGACAGGAATGAGTCTGTTTAGTTCATCGGTTAGACTGAGTGTAAAATCAGATGCAGTATAATGCTTGGGGCTGTCTTTTTTTTTCTTTAAGATTTATTTATTTATTTATTTGAGAGCTTGCAAGTGCATGGGGTGGGGACAGAGAGAGAGGGAGAAGTAGGCTCTCCACTGAGCCTGATGTGGGGCTCGAATCCAGGACCCTGGGATCATGACCCGAGCTGAAGGCAAACTTTGACTGAGCCACCAGGTACCCCTGCTTGGAGCTTTCATAAAACATTTTATGTATTTTTAAAAGATATCTGTAAAGGTCTTTGCTGTTTTATTTTGTTGAGGAGGGGAGGGGCAGAGCGAGAGAGAGTCCTAAGCAGGTTCCATGGCCAGTGTGCAGCCAGTCCTAGGTGGGGCTGATCTCGAGAAAATGACCTGAGCTAAAATCAAGAGTGGGATGCTCAGCTGACTGAGCCACCCAGGCGTCTCTCTTTTCTATTTTAAAGAAAACCTGTGGGAGTGAGTGAACTTAAAATACTGAGGTTTTTGATATGCAACTAGTCGTCATACTCTTACCACATTGAATTTACTTACAAACATAATCCCATAAAATGAGCCTCATTTCTTACTATTTTCTGTACATAAAGTATACTATATATATATATTTAAAAGATTTTATTTCAGAGTGCATGGGGTAGGGTGAGGGAGGGGCAGAGGAACAAGGAGACTCCCTGATGAGCAAGAAGCCCAACAGGGAGCTCTGGATCCTGAGATCATGACCTGAGCCAAAGTTGGGCTCTTAACCCTCTGAGCCATCCAGGCGCCCCTTACATTATTTTTTTAAGTAATCTCTACGCCCGATGTGGGGTTCCAACTCAGGACCCCGAGATCAAGTGTAGCAGTTCCACCCAGTTGGCCAGGCACCCCTGTACACATACTTTTAGAGAGTTTTAGGTATGTGGTTGCCTGGTAGAAAAACGCCGTATTTTAACAATCGTGAAATTTGGGAAACCTGAATTGAAATGGTCCTTAACTGGTAAGTTGACATTCAGCCACATTCCTTTTTATCTTTCTCATTCCACCAAGATTTAATTGTACAGTCATCTACTGATAGGATGCTTTTAACTAGTCAGAATTTGCTTTCCCGATTTTAGATCTTAGACATTGTCTTGTTGGTTCTCCTCAACAATCCTATCCCAAGGAGGCAAATGCCACTCAATCAGTAAAGCCTCAAAGCAAGACATTTAAATTTTCCATTTTTCAGATTATCCTTTATGAACACAAGGACATGCTTTGCTCATTCATAGTCAATCAAAAAGTAAAGCTGAGATACTATCACACCATTTTTTGTAATCTGTCTTGCCATTAATGCCATGTTATGGGTTAAACAGTAGGGGATGGGAGATCAGGGGTTAAATGTATTATTTTTTTTCATAGTTCAGTTCCTGTATAACAAGTGAAAGGAAGCAGGGTGACTGAGCTAACACGAGAAAAAGCTTAGATTCATCCCAGAATGTGGTAGATTTTGTCATGACCAAGTGCCTAAGTTCTCATTGCTATTCAAAAGCTGCATGAAGAATCAAACAAAACACACACACACACACATATACCCCCCCCCCCCCCCCCCCCCCCCCCCCCCCCCCCCCGCCTCAATCTGTGATTCGTAGTTTCGAGCTGTGTGCTAGGATGGCCAGCAGCTGCTAACTACCGGGGCTGGCGTCTGCGTCCGTCCAGGTATTCGTGTGAACGGGCCAGGTACCGTTCTCAGTGCCCGGTGTACACAGCGGCTTTCAAGACCGGGAAAGAAGTGAGCAGCTCAACTGTCAAAACTGGGGTGACGGGGGCAGAAACGGCCTTTAATTTGCTTCCTCGTTCGCTGGCTAACGGCGAAGAACCGGTTCTTCGCGGACGGTGGCTGGTGGACCTCAACCGCACATCAACCTTCCCGGAGCCTGCAGCCCCCGCCCTGCACGCGCGAGAGCCAGGAGGGCGCACCTGAGGTCTCGCGAGAGCCGGGATGGTCCCTCGGCGACGCCGTAGGCGGGGCCGGCGGGCGCTTTCCTCTGGGCGGGCGGTTTGGGTGCTTACTCGGACCGCCCGAGGGCGCGGGGCTCCGGGGTTCGGGGCTCGCCCCCCGCTCCGGGCAGGCGCGCCTATGGCGTTTGTAAGGTGACGCTGCGCTCACCGACTTTCTCCGGGGGCGGAGGAAGCACCCATGAACCCTTCGGCGACCTTCCTCGTCGGGCGCCAGGTGAGCGGCCGCCGCCGGCTCAGCGTCTCCGCTGGAGCGTCCGGGTGCGAGTGGACAGCGAGCCTCGCGGGACGGGGAGCACTCTGGCCGAACCCGGGTGGTTTTTAAGGAACGGTTTCTGCTTAAAAATGTAAAACGATAGATACACAGTACGAAGAGGAGAAGCGGAGCGTCGCATCTGGTCCCTTACTTTAGTAAGAACGACATCCGGCCCAGGCGCCGAGACGGGCGGCGAGTGACCAGGTGCTCACTTTTTAAACGACACCTGGGCGTTTGGAGAGCGCCTTTCTGTGCGCCGCCTCGCTTCCTGTCCTTAATTTCCTTCACGGTAACCTGCGAGGGGACGAGCACTCTCGTAACTCCGTTTTACCAGAAAGCGTTGAAAGCGAGCTTTGCATTTATGAGTGTACGAAGAAAAGTGAGCTTTGCATTCATCAGTACGGTGAAATGAGCTTTTTTTTTTTTTTTTTTTTTTTTTGGCATGTTTGGCGAATTGCCTGTTTTCCTATCCTACAATATGTGCTCCTTGCCGGCGCGCTCATTACTGCATCCCCAGCCACACTTGGCGCTCAGCAAATACTTGTTCAGTGAATCAATGAATTAACGAATGGTTTACCAAAGACTTAGAATTTAAATCTTGTGATTTGGAATCACTTGATCCAAATTCCACTTTCTGTGTTTAGTTACTAGTAAGTAACTGTAATTCATTCATCATTATTTATTGACAAACCTTATTTTTCAGAAAGCAGTAATGATACAAAATGGGCCTCGTGAAGTTTTAACTACTAGTTTTAAGGTAGAATTCTTTTATTTTAATTAAAAAAATTTTTTTAAGGTAGAATTCTTGAAGTAATACTTTCAGTTCTTTTATTTCATGGATGGGGCAGTACCATATTTCAAAATGTGCTTCACAATCAATAATAGGTAATGTTTGGAAAAACTATATCCCTTTCACGTATTTAAGTTGGTATCTTAAAATTTTTCCTTAAAAAAAAATAACGATAGCTAATGTTTGTTGAGTGCTTACCCTGTGCCAAGTAATGTGGAGTGCTTTACACAGTTTATCATGCTTAATCCACAGAACTAAGAAGTTAAAGTGTTATTACCATTTTACAGGTGAGGAAACCAAGGCTTAGAGAGGTTAAGTAATTTGTGCAATGTTATAGAGCCACTCAAGTGATTAATTCTGGATTCACATTTAGGTCAGACCAGCTTCACGATCTAGTCTTTAAAATGACATATGCATAAAGGGAATTACTGTAGATAATTTTATTAGGTATGAAATGACATCATGGTGATATGAAAAATGTTCATTTTTAGAGATGCATGCCAAAATACGTTAAGAGTTTTTTAAACAACAAAAAGAGAAAGGAAAATTGAAACAGATGTGGTAGAATCTTGATAATGGTAGAACTTAGGTACTGAACATAAGAGAGTTTATTGTACAATTTCCTTCTGTGTGTGTTTGAAAATTTTCCTTTATAAACAGGTGTGTTGAGTTTGGACCAATCACAATATTACATTGTTCTTGGTAGATTGAGTATATGCCCTAGATGTTATGAGAATTATTTACATTCAAACAGTGATTATTTTATGTTTTCCTTTACTTGATTGAACCAGAATTGCTGGGGCAAAGTGTGGGGTAATATTGTTGACTGATACAAGGAATGGGTTGACAGCAAAGACAAAAATGCCAAAATGAGTTTATTTGTGATTAGCCAATGAAGGTTTTACAAACGGTCCCACTTTTTAAGAGTGGCATGTTTGGTATGACAGAAAATTATATAGAGGCAGAGTGCACGGTAGGTAGGCATGAACTCATTTTAAATATACATAATTTTGATGCCATGTTATAAGCAGTGAATAAAAAATAATTTAACTGTCTTGAATTGGCAGCAAAAGAAGATACAATTATTTGGAAAAAAATGCTTCTGCTCATTTATGTTATTGATTAGTTTTATTTTGATGTAAAACCACTTTCTCTGTTTAGAACATCGGGTCAGAAGTTGAGATTTCCACTATCGAGAAACAACGGAAAGAGCTGCAGCTGCTTATTGGAGAATTAAAAGACCGCGATAAAGAGCTCAATGATATGGTTGCAGTACATCAGAGACAACTTCTTTCATGGGAAGAGGATCGGCAGAAAGTGTTGACTTTGGAAGAACGTTGCAGCAAATTAGAGGGTCAGAAATACATTAGCAGTATCTGTTATATATCTCTGTATGCCAGCATATTCAAAGGGTTCATGGGTTAGACACAAATGTATTTATTTTAAAATAAATATTTTTATTTGAGAGAGCACGCACGCACATGTGAGCAGGGAGGGGGGCAGAGGGAGAGGTAGAGAATCCCCAAGCAGACTCCTTGCTGAGCATGGAGCACAATGCAGAGCTCAGTCCCAGGAACCCAGGATCATGACCTGAACTTAAAACAAGAGTCAGATGCTCAACTGACCACCACCCAGGCACCTGAGACACAAATGTATTTAAATATTAAATACATTAGGGGAAAAAAGCGGGGCCCACAGGAGAGATAAGAGATAGAATATCTCAACACAATCCCCGCTGCCCTAGAGTTTAGTTTAATTGAAGATAGGAAGCCTTTATGAACACTCACAATTGAACAAACACAATGTGAATTGAAGTTGGGCAGACAGTTTAAGTGTAGAGAGGGTGCTGGAGAGAGAGCTCCAATTAATCTGAAGTGTCAAGAGTGAATCTGAATGAAATTAGTTTTGAGCTAGAATATGAATAGAAATGCCACAGGACTAGCCATTTCTGTTGAACTGACTCAAAGATTTTAAATTTTTAGTGTTGAACTTGATCTTAAGTATCTAAAACAGTCACCTTTTAAAAATATAGCAGTCTCAAAAATGGCTTGCAAAAATTTTCTTTGTACCATATTTTAATTCTGTCATCCCTTTAGTGCTGCCCTGAGGTCTGAATGTTCTAGTGACACTACATCAATGCCAGACTGTATTAGAACGGAAAACACTAGATCTGTTTAATAGATAACTATATTGCACCTCCTTTTTTTTATCTTCTGTTACCCAAAGGATTACAAACTGAATATGCATAATTTTCCATTTCTTTGATGATCATTTGATTTTACTCTGACCATACCCAGCCACACACACATACGCATCATGTTTGATTTGATTGCACATTAGATGTAATATATCTTACACAGATATGTTAAAGATGAAGATGACATTGCATATAGCCAACAGTATCTGGTTTTAAAATAAGAAACTTGAGGGGCGCCTGGGTGGCTCAGTCGGTTAAGCATCTAACTTGATTTCAGCTCAGGTCTTGATCTCAGGGTCATGAGTCTTGTGTTGGAGCTCCAAGTCCAGCGTGGAGCCTACTTAGAAAAAAAGATTCTCATTCTCATTAGTGACTAGGGAAATGCAAATTAAAACCGTAATGAGATACCATTTACACTTATCAGACCAGCAAAAATGATCAGGTATTGGTAAAGATATCAGGTATATATAAAGGTAGCAGGTATTTGGAGCCAAGGGAAGACTCATTCACTGCTGGTGGGAGTGTCAGTTGGTACAACTACTTGGAAAATCATTTGACAGTATCTAGTAAAGTTAAAGATATACATAGCTCATGGCCCCGCATTTCCACTTCTAGGAATATACCCATGGGTCAGAGTACAAGTAAATGACCTAAGGATCTTATTAATATGTAGATTCTGATACAACAGGTCTGGGGCCTGAGTCTGCATTTCTAACAAATTACCAGGTGATGTCAATGCTGCTGGCTCAAGGACCCCATTTGAGTAGCAAGGCTCTACAAAAACTCTTGCAAAATTACACCAAGATACACATTTAAGAATATTCAGAGCAACATTGTTCATAATAGCTGCAAAATGGAAACAACTGAAGTGGCTACCAATAGTAGTAAATACTATTTGGCATAATCATATAATGGGATATTATGTAGCAACAACAGTGCACAAACACCAGTCACATACAACAATGTGGATAAATCTCAGGATCATCTTAGGTAGAAAAATGTGAAGGGAAGAACTCAGAGTATAATCCCAATTATATACAGTTCAAATCAAACTGTGTTTTAGGAATGTGGTCATAGGGTGGTAACACTATAATTAAAAAGCAGGCAAATGATTAAGATCAGGACAGTGGTTGGGAAGGTGGGAATTGGAGACATTGTGTTTAGGAAATGACATCTATGGGGCTTCTGGGTTGCTGACTATTCTGTTTCTATACTATCCAGTATCGTGGATTCCATAATACATTCTTTAAAAAGAATTATCTTTTAAAAAATTATTTAGCACACTTAACCTTTTAATTGTGTGTTTGAAAATGCATTTTAAACTTCAGATCTGATCAAAAGATAGTTATTGATGAAATTTCCCTCAGGTGAACTACATAAAAGAACTGAAATAATCAGGTCACTCACAAAGAAGGTAAAAACCCTTGAATCTAATCAGATTGAATGCCAAACGGTTCTTCAGAAGACTCAGCTACAGCTTCAGGAAATGGCTCAAAAGGCAACCCATTCCTCTCTCCTCTCTGAAGACCTTGAGGTTGGTTTTATTTTGTGATAAGCTTCTCTAGCCCAAATTTTGTTTCAGGTATTGAGAAATTAGATTTAAATGTTTCCATTAAAATGTATGTGTGTATGAAAGTCGATCTGTCCATCTGCCACCATAGTTTCGTGCTCACTGTATGGCTTTGGTTGGCTGCACAGTGCTGAGTTGTCTGGGAGATAAACTTCATTACCACCTTTTCTGACTGTCAGCCCATTTGGTCGAGGAGCATCTGTCACTTTATCAACAATGGGTTATTTTAGAAAGCCTTTCTCAAAGTCTCAGATGAATAGCATCAAATTTTGGTAGCTTCACATGATGCTTTCTAAATGTGCCTTATCTGATACGATAAACAGTATCTACATCATGTTAGTGGCATATGGGGAATAAAATTTGTAAGACTGATTTTTCACTTTTCAGTTTTTTTTTTTTTAAAGATTTTATTTATTTATTTGACAGAGACAGCAAGAGAGGGAACACAAGCATGGGGAGCGGGAGAGGGAGAAGCAGGCTTCCCACTGAGCAGGGAGCCCGATGTGGGGCTCGATCCCAGGACCCTGCGATCATGACCTGAGCCAAAGGCAGATGCTTAATGACTGAGCCACCCAGGCGCCCCTCACTTTTCAGTTCTAACTGGTCATCAGATATTTTTTGAACTCATGTTTTATGAGAGGCACAGAGAGCCATATTTTTGTTATAGCATTTGTATTCTTGTTTCATAATGATAATGCCTTGTTTATTCTTTCAGATTATTATTCTAGACAGTTTCTAGCTATAAAATAAGTAAAAGCTAGGGTGCCTGGGTGGCTCAGTTGGTTAAGCGACTGCCTTCGGCTCAGGTCATGATCCTGGAGTCCCGGGATCGAGTCCCACATCGGGCTCCCTGCTCGGCGGGGAATCTGCTTCTCCCTCTGACCCTCTTCCCTCTCGTGCTCTCTATCTCTCATTCTCTCTCTCTCAAATAAATAAATAAAATCTTTAAAAAAAAATAAGTAAAAGCTATTCTATTGATATGTTGAATTAAAAAATAAAAATGTAGGGGGTGCTTGGCTGACTCGGTGAGGCATGTGACGCTTGTTCTTGGGGTCATGAGTTCAAGCCCCACATAGGGCATAGAGCTTACTTTAAAAAAAAAAAAGGAAATGTATGAGAGAGAATGAGCAAGATCTCTGGTGTCTTTTCTTACAAGGATTCTAATCCCATCATGAGGGCCCCACTCATGACCTCTTTTACACCTAATTATCTCTCAAAGGAGCATCTCCAAATAATACCATATTGGAGGTTAGAGCTTCAACATAACGCGTTTTGGGGGGATGCAATTCAGTTCATAGCAGGAGGATTTTTTTTTATTAATAAGATTTATTTCTTAGAGCAGTTTTTTGTTCACAGCAAAACAGAGTAGAATGCATAAATTTCTCCTATACCCCCCTGCCTCCACCACCAAACACAGTCTCCCCTACTATGGACGTTCTGCACCCTGGTAGTACATTTGTTATAATCAGTGAATCTGTTAACACATCATTGTCACCCAAAGTCATAGTTTACATTGGGGTTCGCTATTGGTGTTATATATTCTGTGGGTTTTGACAGATGTGTAATGACATGTATCCACCATTGTAGTATTGTACAGAATAGTTTCACTGCCTTAAAAATCCTGTGCTCCATCCCTCCACCCCGCTCTGGAACCACTGACCTTTTTACCATTTCCATAGTTGTGTCTTTTCCAGAATGTCCTATAGTTGGAATCGTATAGTATGTACCTTTTTCAGATTGGCTTCTTTTAGTTTGTAGCATGTATTTAAACTTCCTTCATGGAGATACCATTTAAAAGTCTCATTATTCTTTTTTTCCAACCAATAAATATGTAGTTCTGGGGTTAAAAAAAAACCAAGAAACCCCCCAAAAACCTGATAAATGGGAATACCCCAATATGAAGTGAAGGTCTTTCAATGTAGAGTAAAAATTATACACACACACACATATATGTGCATAGAAGTTCACTAATGCTACTTTATTTCAGCAAAGGAAGTCTCTTACTAATCCAATTTTCATTCATTTTCTTTTTTGCCAACCTAGAATTATACATAAGAGAGATTGGGAAATAGACATTTATAAGCATAACCAATATGATTCAGGAAGGCAAACATAAGCATTGAGAGGATGCTAGAGGTAATGGAGAGAAAGATTTGTATTTTTTTTTTGATTTAAAAAAAATTTTTTTTTTGATTACTTGGCCCACTTTGTTGCTAAATAAAAGTTAAAGAGCAAACAAAACAGAATGAGCACAGACTGCAGCTAATGCTAGTAATGAAAGCTTTTAAATGACTCAATATAGTATTTTATGTGTTGTTCCCTTGTAGGCTAGAAACGAAAATCTCAGCAACACATTAGTGGAACTTTCTGCCCAGGTAGGACAATTACAAGCTCGAGAACAGGCTCTCACTACAATGATAAAGCTAAAGGTAATTCAAAATAATAATACCTTCATTTGTCAGGGCACTTGGTACTTTATAAAGTATGGTCACATACATTATCTTACTTAAGTCCCATTGCAATGAGATGGTAGAGCTACCAATGTTGCTGTCTCTTTTAAAATTCTCATTTTAGGGGGGGCCCTGGGTGGCTCAGTTGGTTGGGCATCTACCTTTGGCTCAAGTCATGATCCCAGGGTCTTAGGATCGGGTCCCACATCAGGCTGTCTGCTCAGCTCCCTCTCCTTCTGTGATCTTTCTCACTTTCACTCACTCTCAAATAAATAAATAGAATCTTTAAAAAAATAAAAAAAGAAAATAGGGGCACCTGGGTGGCTCAGTTAAGTGTCTGCCTTCGGATCAGGTCATGATCTCAGGATCCTGGGATTGGGCCCCGCCTCCAGCTCCCTGCTCAGTGGAGAGCCTGGTTCTCCCTCTCCTGCTGCTGCTCCCCCTGCTTATGCTCTCTCTTTCTCTTTCTCTCTCTCTCTGTCAAGTAAATAAAATCTTAAAAAGTAAAATTCTCATTTTAGGGGCACCTGGCTGGCTTAGTGGAGCATGTGACTCTTGATCTTGGGGTTTGTGTTCCAGCCCCACATTGAGGGTAGAGATTACTTAAAAATCTTTTTTTTTTTTTGGTTAAAGATTTTATTTATTTAACAGAGAGAGACACAGCGAGAGAGGGAACACAAGCAGGAGGAGAGGGAGAAGCAGGCTCCCCGCTGAGCAGGGAGCTGGATGTGGGGCTCGATCCCAGGACTCTGGGATCATGACCTGAGCTGAAGGAAGATGCTTAACGACTGAGCCACCCAGGCACCCCCCCAAAAATAAAAAAATCTTAAAAAAGGGGGCGCCTGGGTGGCTCAGTCAGTTGAGTGTCTGACTCTTGATTTTGGCTCAGGTCATGATTTCATGGGTCATGGGGTCGAGCCCCACAACAGGCTCTAGGCTCAGTGGGGAGTCTGCTTGAAGAATCTCTCCCTCTGCCCCTCCCCCTGCTTGTGCATGCCTGTGCGCGCTCTCTTTCTCAAATAAATAAATGAATCTTTAAAATAAGACTCATTTTAGAAATGTTGGAAACAAGTTTAAAATGATGTCCCCAAGACACTGAGAGAGGAGAAAGGACTCCACTTTTGGTCTCTGTCTCCAAAGGCTCATTACATGGTTTAGCATGTCTGGATTAACTTGTTTTCTTCCAAGGTATCCAGTGTTAGTTCTCACAATGTCATTGATAATCAGATTGCTTGTTAATGTTTCTTTGTTTTTCTTTTTTAATGGAGAGAAAAACTGTTAGCAGTCCAGCAGTTGCTAGAGCCACTACCATGTCATGATTAGTGATTGACTGACAGTCTCTTCTGCTATAACATGTGTTTGGCAGCTGGTGAATAGGGAATGATTTAGGCATAATGGGACCCTCATGCTAGTTCATATGTGCTTTTTCCCTGCATTTTAATGTTTTAAAGTGGTCATGGGCAAGCTTTCTTAAAATTGAAGAGAAAATATTAAAGTCTGCGGAATTGTCTTTAGTCAAATAGTGACCAATTTAGTGGCTTTAACAACTACTCTGGTTTCCGTTGTGGCAAAGTCCTGGTGAGGCTGTGAGTGCTAATGAAGATGCTGGAAAAGACTGACTGGTGTGTCGGCGCTGGCTTTTGCTGAACTGTTTGCATACTTAAATGGGCCTGTTGTTTTTTGCTACCAGTCTAATCATGAAGTTCCATTGATCTGCCAACCCTTATTTTCCCATAAAATCTTCCTGGTGTGAGATGTGCAGACCATGAGCATCTTCAGGAATGCATATATGGTGCTGTAGCAGAAACACTTGTCCTTAAGCAGGAGGAAAACCTGTTACTAATAACTATTCTATATTATAGCTATTATAATAATAGTTATTCCATGTGAGTGGGGGAGGGGAACTTTTACTTTATATATATATATTTTTAAAGATTTTATTTATTTATTTGACACAGAGACAGCGAGAGAGGGAACACAAACAGGGAGAGTGGAAAAGGGAGAAGGCGGGCCTCCTGCAGAGCAGGGAGCCCGATGCAGGGCTCGATCCCAGGACCCTGAGATCATGACCTGAGCTGAAGGCAGTTGCTTAACCAACTGAGCCACCCAGGCGCCCCTTACTTAATATTTTTATACTTCTAGGTATTGTTTGAATTTTCCACAAGCAGATACCTTTTTTTGTAATTAAAACAACCACCTCAACAATAAGAGGTTCTGATTTGGGTAGTTTGGGAATAATGTCTTGGAGTCTGCCATTTTAACAAGCTGGAACAAAGGGGTAGAGGAGAGAGGCCCATGGGATTTATCTGTAGTGCAGAGAGTAAGCCACCAGCTTACTCTCTTCAAGGGCCACCAGCTCTCCTACTGCAATTATAGTCTCTTAAGTAATCACATCGTGGTTATAAACTTTCTGAAACAGTAAGCTGTGGTGGTTCATGCGTGGTTGCAGGGGCCAGCTGGCTAGGTGCAAATTGGAGCTCCATCCCTAACTAGTTGCAGAACTGTGGGCTTTTTACTATTGACTCGCTTGTCACATGGGGACAATAGTAGTACCGGCTCAGAGAGTTGCTGTGAGATTACGTTAATTAACGACAATAAAGTGTCTAGAACGAAATCTGGCACATGGTGGGATCTTAACAAGTGAGATCTTACACTGATTAGTTGAAACTTTTTTTTTAAGATTTTTTTATTTATTCATTTGACAGAGACACAACGAGAGAGGGAACACAAGCAGGGGGAGTGGGAGAGGGAGAAGCAGGCTTCCTGAGGAGCAGGGAGTCTGATGTGGGGTGCAATCCCAGGACCTTGGGATCATGACCTGAGCCGAAGGCAGACACTTAACGACTGAGCCACCCAGGCACCCCTGATTAGTTGAAACTTAAAAATCTTACAGAACAGGAGCGCCTGGGTGGCTCGGTTGGTTGGGTGACTGCCTTCAGCTCAGGTCATGATCCTGGAGTCCCAGAATCAAGTCCCGCATCAGGCTCCCTGCTCGGCGGGGAGCCTGCTTCTCCCTCTAACCCTCCCCCTTCTCATGTACTCTCTCTCTCTCTCATTCTCGCTCTCTTAAATAAATAAATCTTTAAAAAAATAAAAATAAAACCCTTTAAAAAAAATCTTACAGAACAGTCTTCAAATTTGGTTCTTAGGACAAAGATATTATTGAGGCTGTCAATCACATTGCAGACTGCTCAGGAAAATTTAAACTGTTAGAGCATGCCTTGCGTGACGCGAAGATGGTGGAGACTTGTATTGTGAAAGAGAAGCAAGATTACAAGCAGAAACTGAAGACACTTAAAATTGAAGTCAATAAACTGAAAGGTAAGAAAGAGACATCAATTCAAGCATTTCATCTTGGGCACATACTTCTTCATTTGGGTTCACTTCATCTTGTGATTGAGAGGTCTGTTGCTGGCCTTAGATCCTAGCGTGAAATGTTCATTTCATTTATACAGAATTATGCTGCAGTATTCATGTTATAAGGTAAATAACAGACTTGGAGGAAACTGTATAATGCATTATATTTTTAAAATAAGTTGCTTTTGCTGTACCGGTTAGTTATTGTTAATTTATGCTTCATAACAACCAGCAACAACATCTTGGTGGTATGCACCCAGAAGCATCTAATAAGCTCAGGTATCAGCCTGACGGGGATTGGCTTATCCCGGTTGGGCCCAGCTGAGCTGCTCTTCTGGGGCAATTCTGCTTCCCATGTCTCGTTTCTCACCAGTAAGCTGGCCTGGGCACTTTTCACCACGGTTAAGGCAGAAACTTTTTTTTTTTTTTTTAAGATTTTATTTATTTATTTATTTGAGAGAGAGAATGAGAGAGAGAGAGAGCATGAGAGGGGGGAGGGTCAGAGGGAGAAGCAGACTCCCCGCTGAGCAGGGAGCCCGATGTGGGACTTGATCCCGGGACTCCAGGATCATGACCTGAGCCGAAGGCAGACGCTTAACGACCGAGCCACCCAGGCATCCCCAAAGGCAGAAATGTAAGAGAAGAAGCAGGGGTACCTGGCTGGCTCAGTTGGGAGGGCATGCAACTCTTGATCTCAGGATCGTGAGTTGGAGCCCAAAGTTGTGTGTGGAGCTTACTTAAAATAGATAGATAGATAATTAGATGAAAAATAGAAGCAGAAAGATGCAAGAACCCGACACACCCTCCCTCTGTTGGCTAAAGCATCATGTGGCTGAGCCCAAAGTCAGGCAGTGGAGAAATATCTGTCCCTCTGGGAGGAATGCAGGGAGGGATGAAGGATTGCCACTAACAACACAATCTGCCAGGGTAGCTTTTTGACGCATGTTTTATTTTTGAAAATTCTTTTTGCGTTCTCCTTTTCTATTTTTGTTCTCAGAGTAACTCAGTGATTCATTTCCTTCTAAGTAATGTTACTTAAAGTTTTATAAAGAAGGGGAGGCTAGGTATACCAAATAGGTTAGTCCTATTTATGTGAATGTGGAGGTAGGTGGTGGAGTAAGAGCTTACATTTGCCTACAGAGGGCATGGAGGTAGGCCCACTTTTCTGTGGCCTTTCCCCTCCCTGGGGCAGAGTCATTGGTCATCGTGTTAGACAGACAGACTCCCACTATGCAGCAAGCAGCCTTAGAATGACAAAGCCATGTTTTGGTGGAAGTTACTCTCACCTCTGTGCATAGTGGGGTACCTCATTGTTAGAAGGTGGAGGAGGGACAGTAGAGTACTCTCCAGACCGGGAAGGCACTTTGAGACTGAAAAGCAAAGGAAGTCACTCCATACCATTTACATGGAGTTTTATTCAGGGTAACTTACTGATGGGGGGTCAGGTAGACCACGACCTTGGTGCTACATAACTACTCTCCGCAAATTCCAGACCTTAATCCACAGCTTTTATAGAACAGGGGACTTTCTGGTGAGGTCAGAGGGTGGTCATCTACAGTGGTGCCATCTGTGCACTAGAGGGAAGATCAGAATAAGCCTTCCCGAATTCCATTCAGGGCACACATTAACCTCCAAAGGGCCTGGAGCACATGGGCGTGAGGGAGGTCATTGCACGGACATGAACAGGATGGAGTCAGGATTTTCAACACTCCTACACCCTGTGCCAGTGAGTTGCTTTTGAAATTGTGAAAGTTTATTGTGGTCAATTTAAAAGACTCAGCCTTCTAAAATCTTATTATTATTTTTTAAAGATTTCATTTATTCATTTGACAGAGACACAGCGAGAGGGGGAACCCAAGCAGGGGGAGTGGGAGAGGGAGAAGCAGGCCTCCCGCAGAGCAGGGAGCCCGATGTGGGGCTCAGTCTCAGGACCCTGGGACCATGACCCGAGCCAAAGGCAGACGCTGATGACTGAGCCACCCAGGTGCCCCTAAAATCTTTTTCTTATGATGCCCTGACTTGTGGCAAATCATGTGCTTTGTCTACATTTGTAGCTTCAGCTATAAAACCGTAATCACACTATACGCCCCTTGACAGCAGGGACAGACTCTGTTATCTCTTTAAAGGACAACAAGGTAATGGACAGGGGAATCAACTCAGTTTGGGTGGACTGGGAAGGTGACTTTGAGGAGAACATTTGAGAGAAACTTGGATGGTGGGAAGAACTAGCCACATGAAGATCTGGGCCCAGAGCCTTCCAGGCAGGAGGAACAGCAAATGCACAAGCCCTGAGTGGGTTTTGAGGTTGGGACATGTTCAAGGAACAGAACAAAAGAAGGGGGAGAGTGATAGGCCAAACCAGGCCATTCAGGGCTTAGGGTAGTGATTTGGATTTCATCCTAAGGGAGTTAGGAGGGCTTTTAGGAGAAGAGTGACATGAGCAGATCTTTTACTTTTTTTTTCTTAAGATTTTATTTATTTATCAGAGAGAGAGCACAAGTACAAGCAGGGGGAGCAGGCAGAGGGAGAAGCAGACTCCCCACTGAGCAAAGAGCCCGATGCGGGACTCGATCCCAAGACCCTGGGATCCTGACCTGAGCCGAAGGCAAACGCTTAACCGACTGAGCCACCGAAGCGCCCCACAGATTTTTTACTTTTAAAAAATTGCCCTGGTGTGCCTGGCTGGCTGAGTCGGAAGAAAATGTGACTCTTGATCTTGGGGTGTGTGTTTGAGCCCCACTACTTCAAAAAAAAAAAAAAATGCCCTTATTGCTCTCTGGGCAATAGGCTGTAGCAGGAGAGGCATGGTTTGAGCAGAGAGACCAGTCAGGGATAGGGAAGCCTGACGAGGTCATTGCCAGGGATGCAGTGAGGCTTAGATATATGTTGGCTGCAGCTCCGACGGGACTTCACATTAATTGGAAAGGGTGCCGAGGGCATGAGAGGTACTCACAGTGTATATTCTTCTAGCAAATAGTATTTATTCAAGGACTTTTGTTTTCTTCTATTTGTGAAGAGGATCTAAATGAAAAGACAACAGAAAATAATGAACAACGAGAAGAGATCATTCGTCTCAAGCAAGAGAAAAGTTGCCTGCATGATGAATTGGTTTTTACTGGTAAAAATAGATAATTAATTTAAGTGATTGAATAGTTCTTTGTAGCCTAAACTTTCTGTGGTACAACTATGATAGATTAAAGGAATTACACCTCTCTCAAAATAGTAACTTTTTAAATACACTTGGACCAGGAGGGACCAGGCAGGGAATATTAAAGTTGTCATCATGCCTCCCAGTTAACCCTGTTTCCTCTTCTAAATAAGGAGCTACCTTCCCTCTCTTCTAGCTTGAGTATGTGACTATACTTTTCACTAAAATCGTGACACATGTGCTTAAAAATCCATTAAGAAAGGATTTTATGAATCGAAGAAGGAAGGATGTTTATACTTTTGCAAATACTAGGTAAAAATTAGAAATTCAATTGTCCAGTTTTGCAAATAGATCGCCTGTGATTACAGTTGGAAAAATGCACATGTGTTTTGTTATATCAGCATGAACCTGAAGTGATAACGTTAAGGATGAATTTTTCATAATTAAAAATAGCAAATTTATCAGTAGTTTGCCTTAGGCCCCCTTCCAGATAAACATAAAAATTGCATTCCATCTCCCCAGCCACATTCCCCCACACCGTCCCCTATATACCCCACTAGTTTCCACTAGTTCAGACCTCTCCCTCTCCGTTGCTGGTTGAGAATCACTGATGTATAGATCTTATCTCTGTCCCTGCCAGCCAAATTTTATTAGGCTTTGTATTTAGTATGAGGAAAATCATAGATTTGGAGGTGAAATTCCAAACAGAATTAAATAAATTGACATTTTTGGCATCTAGTTATATATACCCTCAATTCCCTTCCTTCTAGGAGGAGAATACATTTCTATAAGCTAAAGGGCAAAATGCATTATTAACATTTTTTCACATAAAATGGAATTCTTAATTTTCATGTCGTATGGTAAGGATGGGGAATTGCAGTTTTCTACCATCAGAGGTCACTATTTCTGTTATTTCTAGGATTGCTCTTTCAAAGTTAATCTATTAATAAATATGCATATGTAAATATATATAAAAACATATGTATATTTGAAGCTTTACAGTTGATTTACAAACAATCTTTGGATCAGAGTTTTGGAACTCTGCTAGTTGCTAAGAAACTCCTAGGCCCACAGAAAATCCATTTATTTTTAGGCTTGGGATGCCTGGGTGGCTCAGTCGGTTAAACGTCTGCCTTCAACTCAGGTCATGATCCCACGGTTCTGGGATCGAGCTCTGCATCAGGTTCCCTGTTCTGCAGGGAGCCTGCTTCTCCCTCTGCCTGTCGCTCCCCCTGCTTGTGGTCGCGCGCTCTTTTTCTCAAATAAATAAAATCTTAAAAAAATCCATTTTGTGAAATAATTTTTTTTTATCATTTCCTAAGCTGATTTCTTTTTTTTTTTTTTAAAGATTTATTTATTTGAGAGGGAGTGAGCGCATGAGTCGGGAGGGGCAGAGGGAGAGAATCTTCAAGTAGACTCCCTGTTGGGATCGGAGCCTCATGAGGGGCTCAGTCCCAGAACCCATGAGATCATGACCCAAGCTGAAACCAAGAGTTGAACACTTAACCAACTGAGTCACCCAGGCGCCCCCTAAGCTGATTTCTTAAACATCTTTTCTACTCATACCACTGTCTCAAAACAATTTTTGTATGTTTAAGTTATATAAAAGTGAATTAAGCCTAAAAATAATTTTAAAAGGCTTAACATGATAATATGCTGTCAGGTGCTCTGGCTGAAAATGAACACATTTTATTGGAAGCTAGAAGATGTCTTAAAATTACACTTTTATGTTAAGTTCAAAACTTTTTCCCTCTCATTGAAGATGAAGTTTTTCACATAAGCTTAGAGACATGTTTCATTTGTTTGTACGTAACTGCTTATAAGAAGTTTGCAAATAAAGTGAGAATACCAGTTCACATTTCTGGGGTCCTGATGGTCGTGTAAATGAGGCCTCATGGGAGCGAGTGAGTGCCTCAGTTCTCTCAGGCAGTGAAAGGCAGAGCCTTGGCCAGACTGAGGCAGCTGCAGACTTCCAGGCGCCTTTCCCTGTGCTGTCTTGTTTAGGCTCCTTGCTCAGGCAGTGAGCAGTGGAGTCCAGTACCTCTTTGTTTCCTGTGACCACTTTGTGAAAATAGGTGGACCCACTCCACTTGGATTTCTCAGCTAAACCCAGCCATGTAGAAAAGTATCTCATCTAGGAAAACATTTATATTTCCAGTGGAGTTGCCTCCTATGCAATAATAGATTATTCTAAAGTCAGGGATTAAGGCAAAATTCAGATATATTTAAAATTACCCTTGAGGGGTGCCTGGCTGGCTCTGTGGGTGGAGTATATGACTCTTGATCTTGGGGTCCTGAGTTTGAGCCCCACGTGGGGTGTAGAGATTACTTAAAAATAAAATCTTTAAAAAATAAAATTATCCTTGAACTCCAAATAAAGTAGTTGGCTTTTGTTTAGGGGCCATACTGAATTCAAAACAAGTATCTCTACACACTAGGATTTGCACCCAGCATGTCACAGTGCTGTTAATACGAGAGGGGGGGTGGAAGTGAGATCAGGAGAGAGTCACAGGTGCCTTGTGGGCATTGCTTCTACTGTTAAAGTAGCTGTGATTCCTTTTATTGTTTTTTTTTTGTGCTTATGATCGAATTCATAAGTTAGATGCAACTCTACATAAATAATGCAAATCCATTACATTTATATGCTTTCATTATGGTATTGACTCATGTAATGCAAAGAAATAAATTCAAAATTGAATAGGAAAGACGTAGTAGTTTAAACCTGGCCACTTGGCCAGGTTCACTGTGCTTGTCTTCACATTTTCGATTCTGTGCACAAGGATTACCTTTGAAAGCAAGGTGCTATTACAGACCCGCATCTGAAAGGCTGAGCGTGAAACACGTTGGGGAGGAGAGAGGGTGCTGTGCACAGACCCCTGTCACTCTTTCCTCTCCTTGGTCCCCTGACCACAGACAAACACTGCAGAACAGCAGTCTAGTGGAGTTGCAGTCTATAGCAAAGTGCATGCCTTTGTCCTTAAGTGTTTTATGTGATGTCCAGATGTAAAGTAATAATAAAAATTTTTTATCCTTTTTCATCCATGAGAAAAATGACATGTAAAAAAAGTGTTTTATGAAAGAACCATAGATATAAATTTTTATTTAGATTGCATCAGATTTTCTTAAAATTAATTCATGTAGAGCGTTATTTTATACATTTAGCATGAACTTCTTATAAAGATACTGATGTTTTTCTTAAGCATTTATTGTTGATTTCTCACTTCTGTGTGAATCACTTTCTCATTAAGAATAATATTAATGTTTTTTTTCTGATATTAGCCCTTGTACAGCACTTTATTTTTTTTTAAAGATTTTATTCATGTATTTGACAGAGAGAGACACAGCGAGAGGGGGGTGGGGGAGTGGGAGAGAGAGAAGCAGGCTTCCCGCCGAGCAGGGAGTGCGATGTGGGGCTCAATCCCAGGACCTCAGGACCATGACCTGAGCCAAAGGCAGATGCTTAATGACTGAGCCACCCAGGCGCCCCTGTACAGCACTTTAGATTCTTTCCCTCCTCTGGGTTCTCATCTACCAAGTTCTGAAACTGTTTTTAGAATATGGCTTTCTCATGCCCTAACTCTAGTTAGTGGCATATCCGTGTTTCAGCAAAGCATTGATGATCTTTGTAAAAGAATGAAGATTTAAAAAAAAAAATTATCTTTGCTCTCTATTTGCACTGAGAAAAATTGAGTGTATAACTATGTGTATTGAAGAGAACTCGGAATCTTAATTACCTATCAGGTGAAGAGTTTTCAAGAGGTAGAAAATCTATGGGCGCCTGGGTGGCTCAGTTGGTTAAGCGACTGCGTTCGGCTCAGGTCATGATCCTGGAGTCCCGGGATCGAGTCCCGCATCGGGCTCCCTGCTCGGGAGGGAGTCTGCTTCTCCCTCTGACCCTCCCCCCTCTCATGTGCTCTCTCTCTCTCATTCTTTCTCTCAAATAAATAAATAAAATCTTAAAAAAAAAAGAAAATCTTTAAAGGAATGCTGGGCAAGTTTATCTGCTATGTGGGCACTTCAGAGACACAAATATCTTTGGTCTTTGGTCAGTAACAATATATAGGAAGGGCCTGATTGTGAGATTATATCAGACTGACTTGCATACTGGTAAAAATCATGTTTTTTTTTTATACCTTGTAATGTTCATTTTTTTTTTCTGTTGATAGAGGTAATATGTTGTTTGGGTTTTTACAATGAAAATGCATTCATAAGTTACTCATGTAATGTGAAAAAAATTTAAAAAGTAATATGTATTTTATCATGCCACCCCCCCATTAAAAACAGAGAGGAAAACAATTGTCATTAATCCTCACATCTAAAAAAAGTTTCTTTAAATACTTGTGTATTTGCTCTCAGACTTTTCCTGTGTGTTTGTGTATACAAACATACAGTGTGATTTGATCATACAGTTGATACAATTCTGAATCCTTTTTTGACTCAGCATTAATTATATTGTGAAAATTTTCAAATTTGGTGAAAGATCTAGTCAGAATCACAGATTAAAGCTCTTCCCAGCTATGCATTTTGTAAATTTTAAGTTCAGGAACAAGGGGAAAACAAGTTACTGGAACATTAAATTTTTGGAAATGAAAAGGTTTGTGTTGATATGGCTGATGAAAAATACTTTAATAATGATTCTTCTTAAATAGCAGAGAGAGAAAAAAGGAAAGATGAGTTACTTGATATTGCAAAGTCAAAGCAAGAACGTACAAATGCAGAACTGCATAATCTGAGACAGGTATGTCCCCAGTTATACTGTTCTTACTATTTGGGAAGCATTTATAAACAAACATCAAATTAGGAAAAGTGTGTGTCGATTTTTGTTTATGGTGCTTTTGGAATCCTAACTACATTAAAGGTATATAATATTTAGCATAGCTGATAGGGTCTTGCTTATGGTAATGAAAGGTTTGGAAACTAGTTATACTAACGAATCCGAGTGCTAACATAGGAAAAATAAAAGCAAACATATTTAGCATATTTCTCTATCACTGTCTGATCTGTTTTAGCATTTGAATGTTGGCTCATTATAGTTTTGTTGTCACATCTTACTGATTTATCAATATCTATGGCAGATTTATGTAAAACAACAGAGTGATCTGCAGTTTCTTAATTTTAATGTGGAAAATTCTCAGGAATTAATACAGATATATGACTCAAAGATGGAGGAATCAAAGGTTCTGGAGTCCAGGTAATCTTAGCAAGATGCTATTAGTATGATCTTGTATTTTATTTTATCATTCAATCTATTTATGAAGTACTTACTATGGGCCGGTATCTACTATCATTTCCTATATGGTAGGGAGTCAATAAATATGAGCTAGTAATTGTTATTATAATCCTGGGTTATAATGAGACCTGATCTTAGAATTTTAGGCCTGATCCTGATTTAGCCACTTGGTAAAAGAAATTCATTAGCCTTGGGCGCCTGGGTGGCTCAGTTGGTTAGGCGACTGCCTTCGGCTCAGGTCATGATCCTGGAGTCCCGGGATCGAGTCCCACATCGGGCTCCCTGCTCAGCGGGGAGTCTGCTTCTCCCTCTGACCCTCCTCCCTCTCATGCTTTCTGTCTTTCATTCTCTCCCTCTCAAATAAATAAATAAAATCTTTAAAAAAAAAAATTCATTAGCCTTGGGATGCAGGTGTGGTGCCGGTGAGAGCTGGGGAAGTGCCCAAGGACATCAGAATGGCAACATACACACATGGTCAGCCCAGTCTTTCTTTAGGAGATACAGAATTCAGAAGACCAATGGTCATCGAAATCATAGAAAAAAAATTTGAATATCTTAGAAAAGAAAAGACGTTAAATATATATGGCACAGTGTTCTTTGGAACAGCAGCTAGTTTCTCTGGAATAATGGCCAACTTCATTTTCAGACACTGCTTCAAGGTTAAACATGATGCTTTGAAGACATATGCATCACTGACTACACTTCCATTTTTGTCTACTGTAGTCACTTATAAGCTCCTTGTAACAGACGCTTTATATTTGGGCAATATAAGCCAGGAAAATTGTGTTCTGAGAAGTTCACTGATTGGCATAGTATGTGGCGTTTTATATCCCTGTGGTTTGGCTTTTTCTAAAAATGGACGCCTGGCAGTTAAGTATCATACTGTTCCACTGCCACCAAAAGGAAGGGTTTTACTTTACTGGCTGCTGCTTTGTCAAACAGAGATAAAAGCTATGATGATTCCTCTAGTCCTTCAGACGGTATTTGGAATATTTAATGGTCTACAGCATTATGCAAGATTTGGAAGTACACTTGAGAAAACTGTACATGAAGATTAATCAAAGAATGAATGGATACTAAATCAGCAGAATGGGTTTTTTTTTATGATGAGGACTCAGGCATTGCTGAAGCAGTTAAAAGTAACTGGACAGTTTGTTTCTGTTCCTTTTGCCTGGTATACAGCAGGTACTCAATAAATATTCAGTAATTCAGTAAAAAAAAAAAAAAGAAATTCATTAGCCTTATTTGTGTATTGTTGTGTATAAGACTTTGAGCTCAAGTAGAAACCAGAGGTGAGTCATTTACTCTTTCGTGCGGACTCAGAGTTTAGTGTTTCGCACTCACTGGGCTGGGAATGGGGAAAATAAAGATACACAGGACATGGTACTTGGCCTAAAAGAAAAAAACACCGACGAATGGTATAAATAACTGTAGTAGTTGTTCAGCTAGCTGAGGATGATCTCTGCTTTTAGCTGGATTTTCCTGTTTTCCTTGTTAGTAGAAGGAGACACCTCTTCTTACCTATAATCAGTGTGTGAACTAAATTGGTTTTGTAAAGTTAAAATGTAAATATATGAGGTGTGGTTTAATTTAATAGGCATATAGCTGTCCCACAGTTAAATTTAGTCTACTTTTCCAAGCAGAAGTGTGACAAGCAGTCATGAATGGGAACAGGAATTAGGGAAGTTCCCGGCCACCCGGTGTGACCGTGCAGCTCCTTGGCCTGGCAGTTAGCAGTTGCAGGAACCGTTGGAGCAGCTCTTGCTACAGACAGAGTGACTGCTGAGCCGGCTTTGCTTTTCTTTCCAGGCCTTCTGCTGGGGGTGTTACACTCTTGCTTTGTGCCCTAGCTGCTGCCGCTGCTGGTACACACTGCACCAGCCTGGAGTGCTCGCACAGGCCGAAGCCCCTACCATATTGGCTTTTCCCTTCTCTGTACTTCGTTGCCCCTGGGAGGCACTTGGGCTAGATGAGTGAGGCTGTTCTTTAAGAGTGTGGAATGGCCTGTGCCCTTCCAGGAGGTGGGGGTCGAGTTTTCTGAGGGCTCTGAACTCTCCGTGTCCAAATATCTGAAGACAGTTTATCAAAAGGTTTATCATGTTTGTATATATTTTCATTTTATGCACACCTGTCATTCTTACTTTAGACCAGCTTTCAGTATGTCGCCATGTAAATATCCAGCAGGTAAATGGGATGGCCGTGAATGCTGTATGGTAGACGCATTTGGCCCTTCCCACTGTGTCTCTGTTCCTTGAATCTCTGTCCCCTTTCAGTCCTGGCTTTACCTCTGTTTACTGTGAAACTAACAATTAGGAAGAGGAAATAACAGATCAATCAACAAGTATTTACAGAACACTTAATGTTTGTAAAAGGCTATCCTAAAGTGCCAGGAGGATTAAAAATGCCTCTACATATTAAGGAACTTAGGAGTCTATTGAAAGACAGGATATGTGCATGAAAGTGAGTGAACAATATAGTTATAATAGAAGTTTGCTGCCTGATTAAGTAGATGATACAGTAAAATGAGGACTGTGGTATTGGCAATAAGCACGGTGGGAGTTGAGGACGGGAAGGGGAAAGAGAGTGTGTGGGCTTGCTGGTCAGAGAGACTTCCTTGAAGTTGGGCTGAAATCAGGTTCTGAAGAAAGAATACACATTCTCCCTTATGTTTTCATTTCAGACAGATGGGTCTTAATAGGATTTAGCTCAACTAATAAGGTTTGGGTGAAATATCTAGAGTGACAGTATCAAGTGTATCTTATAACTTCCATTTTTTGTAATGCCACCACAGCAGAGACATGTGTTTGTCAGACCTTGAGAATCACCGCCCAAAAGTCGATATTAAGAGGGAGAAAAATCAGAAGTCATTGGTTAAAGATCCAAAATTTGAGACCACGTTGATTCAGCAAAATCGGTCAGACAGGAGCCCTTGTGATCTGTGCAAAGAGAAGAAACGACAGGGTAATACTTCATTTGGGGAAAAAAGTGTAACTGCTATCTCATCTCTGTTTACAAAAGATGTACTGGAGAAGCAAAAGTCTTGGTCTCTGGGAGGAAAAATGCAGATCGAATCAGAAAACAAAAGTACATTGTGCAAGATCCATGCAAAGTCACCAAAAGGTAATGGGATCGGGACTCAGAATGAAGAGAAACAACTCTCTGAAGCATCCACCTCGTTATCTGATGAGAAACAGTGGCATGATGTCAATGTGTACCTGGGCCTGGCCAGCTGTTCTAGTTCCAGACAACCAGAAAAGCTGGATGTTGAAAGTCAAGATGACATAGAAAGGTCTGGAGTCTCCTGTTGCCATAAAAATGAAACCTGTCTTGGGGAGAGTGACATGTATGAGTCCAAGTGCTGCCACCCGAGTAACTTCATCATTGAAGCCCCAGGCTACATGTCTGACATGGAGTGGATGAGCATTTTCAAGCCTTCTAAAGTGCAAAGAATTGTTCGCCATAAATCTGTGTGTACTTGCTCAGAAAGTGCCGGTGGAAGGAAATACAACTCCGCCATGAGGTTAGTAACATTTTGTACTGGGCAGCGCTGATGCTGGGAAATGGAAGGGGCTGTGGTAGCCGCCGCGTGCTTGCTCCATGGAGAGCAGTGTGTGCGAACACAAGTCGTGTCTGAGGCCGACCCAGTACTCTCTTCCTCAGCATGTAGGCTGTTGAGTTTTCCATTGTGCAGAGACCATATTAGATTCCAGTGAAGAGTTTGTACCTAGGACAGCTTCTGAGGCAAAGGTTTTGTTTGAAAACAAAGCCATTTGTCATGAGTTGGGCAAATATGTTTTTTTAAAAAACTAACAGTGGGGTCACTTTACAGAGTAGAATGCTGCTCTGGGACATTCCTCACCCCTGGATCCAGTGTGAATTGATAAGCTGTCTATGCAGAGATCACACTCCCTAGACCCCTGATAAGAATTTTGCTGGCCACCTCCCCACCCCCACCCCATTGGCATATTTACATATCCAACTGCTTCTGCCTTTCTGTTCACTTTACATTTCCCAAACTTGCTTTCCTTTTTTTTTTTTTTTTGAGATTTTATTTATTTATCTGACAGCACAAGCAGGGGGAATGGGAGAGGGAGAAGCAGGCTCCCCACTGAGCAGGGAGCCTGATGTGGGGCTCGATCCCAGGACCCTGGGATCATGACCTGAGCCGAAGGCAGATGCCTAACCGATTGAGCCACCCAGGCGCCCCCCAAACTTTCTTATTTTTTAAAATCATGCAAGAAAAAAAAATTTTTTATGTAACAAGCTGGTAAAAGTTAATAGTTTTTTTAAGAGAAGAAAATGGATTAGTTATTAGCATATGCTGCATTATTCAGGCTCATCTTATTGTTAGAATTGCTAAATCTTGTGGTTGAGGGGCACTATAGTAATGTTTGCTATTTTTATTTTTATTTTTTATTTTATTTTTTTTTAATTTTTTTAAAGATTTTATTTATTTATTCATGAGAGACAGAGCGAGAGAGAGAGAGAGGCAGAGGGAGAAGCAGGCTCCCAAGGAGCAGGGAGCCCGATGTGGGACTCGATCCCAGGACCCTGGGATCATGACCTGAGCCAAAGGCAGACACTTAGCCATCTGAGCCACCCAGGCGCCCATTTTATTTTATTTTAAAGATTTTATTTATTTGACAGAGAGAGACACAGCAAGAGAGGGAACACAAGCAGGGGGAGTGGGAGAGGGAGAGGGAGAAGTAGGTTTCCCACTGAGCAGGGAGCCCGACGCGGGGCTCGATCCCAGGACCCTGGGATCATGACCTGAGCTGAAGGCAGACGCTTAACCCATCTGAGCCACCCAGGCGCCCCAATGTTTGCTATTTTTAAATAAAAGCTAGCTCTTGGGTCTTAAATTACAGAAAGGACAAAGTTGCTATATTGAGAGCCTTATTTTAATCATCACACTGACTTTCCTAGGACTTATGATAAAAATTTCTTTCTGGTATTTTCATTATTTGGATTTTTCTTTGGCCCTTTGAGAAGCCTGAGCCATTTAAAAATCATACAGATAGTTATTTTGTCAGTTGTGAACTTTAAAAAAATGGTTGTCCCACTAAATGTTATCTATTCATATTAAAGATTTTCTTTAAATAATTGCAAGTATCGGGGCGCCTGGGTGGCTCAGTCGTTAAGCGTCTGCCTTTGGCTCAGGTCATGATCCCAGGGTCCTGGGATCGAGCCCCACGTTGGGCTCCCTGCTCAGTGGGAAACCTGCTTCTCCCTCTCCCACTCCCCCTGCTTGTGTTTCCTCCTGCTTTCTCTCTCTCTCTCTCTGTCAAATAAATAAGTAAAATCTTAAAAAATAATTGCAAGTATCAGTAGGGCACAACTGCACATTGTTCACTGCTGAACAAACAACACGCATATATTAAGGGAAAACTATGTTAGTTTTAAGAGCATAGTGGACATATCTTAAATTTAACATATAAAAGAAATTCAAATTTAAATTTGGAGTTTTGTTTCAAGACCCTTTTGACCTCCCTGGCTTGAAATAATCCAAACGAACTGTGCTGCCGGCAGAGGCACATGCCGAGACATCACATGCCAAACACGTGATTAAATAGAAAAGATAATTATGTTTTCCTAGTTTTCCTTAGATTATAAGAACTTACTGTGTACCTGTTCTATTATCAGACCACCATTCTGTATGACAAATAGGCCTTTAGCTGTAGAGGGAGAAGCCACGGCAGCCTTTTCTCCTTCAGGTTCGGGGAACATGGGAGGAGGAAGCTCCAGTGCCTTTGGTCTGTTCCAGAACAGCTTTTGCGGTTCACTCTGCTCTGAGCCCACACTTTAAGAACATACCCAGACACTTGGCTGCATGTCTCTCTTCTCTTAATACTGAGGACTTATAGAAGAATTAATAGCTGACAATGCTGTTCTACTTTCACAAAAGGACTTTTAAAAACCATTAACAAAAATCAACTTCACAAACCAAAAACCCAAAATTTTCACAAGTTTTTTCCTCCCTTTTGGATGATCCTGTCCCTTGAACCTTCTTTTTTGTTTTCTTGTTTTTGGAAGGGGGAGGGAAATTCTCTGTTCTGTTGTTAACCCTTGAACTAAGAATTTTGATTTAATTCTTACTGCAGAGCATATGCATTAATTTATAATATTCCACTCAAGCATTCTATTCAAATCTGTAATGTTCTGCTCAAATTTGAGCTTCTTCATGAAAAAGAAAAACTTTTTTTGGGGGGGGTCCTGTTGAGATACTTTTAAGTATAAGACTATGGGTGATAATATGTTTGATACTGTTTTAAGTTGTCTGTTTCTGTTTGGTTTTATTATTTATAGTGAGCTAATTGCCATCCAGCATTCCCACTGTTTGGGTTCTTCAAAATCTGCCACAAGAGAGGATGAGAAATTAATAGACACAGAGCCCTCTTCTGATACAAAGAACTCACCTAAGATTTTGTTATTCAACAAAGAGGCACCATTGTCCACTGACAAGGTTTGTGTTTTGCTTAGAAATACCCAGTTTATTCAAGCAAAACTTCTCCCCAACACACTTCTAATTCTTCTGTAGTACTGCTTTTAGTGAACTTAATTTTGGTCATTCTTCAATTTTTTTTTTTAATTATGTGATTTTAATTACATCATTTAACCAAAGTCAGAGTTTCCTTAAAATATTATCCTATAGATTAAGTCTAGTTAAAATGTCCCTCAGGCCCTCCAGGTGATTGGTAGATATATATATACACACATGTATTTTAAACATAACAAAAAATGAAGGCTATAACTAGCAATATGCACCTACATTCAGATTTAACATGTTTACATTTGCCATATTTGTTTATTTTTCTTGTTGGAGAAATAAAATATTACAGATAAAGTGTGAGTCCCATGCACCATTCTCCCCATGCCCCATCCCCCCAACAGTTAATCACTATCCTGAAGTTGCATTCGTGCTTGTTCTTATACTTTTACCTAGTATGTAAAAATATATATTTAAGCACTACATAATGTTGTTTTATGCTTAAAATGTACATAAATGGGGGTGCCTGGGTGGCTCAGTCAGTTAAGCATCCCAGTCTTGATTTTGGCTCATGTCGTGATCTCAGGGTCCTAGGATTGAGCCCCACACTCAGTGGGGAGTCTGAGATTCTTTCCTTCTGCCCCTCCCCCTGCTCTTGCACACTCAACGTGTGCTCTCTCTCTCTTTTAAATAAATAAATCTAAAAAAAAAATAAGGGCACCTGGGTGGCTCAGTCAGTTAGGCGTCTGCTGTTGGCTCAGGTCATGATCTCGGGGTCCTGGGATCAAGTCCCGTGTTGTCAGGCTCCCTGCTCAGCGGGGAGCCTGCTTCTCCCTCTCCCTCTGCTACTCCCCCTACTTGTGCTCTCTTGCTCTCTCTGTCAAATAAATAAATACAATCTTTAAAAATAAATAAAATGTACATCACTGGTAAAACACTGTCTCTATCCTTTTGCAATATGATTTTTTCCAACTTTGTGAATATTTTGTGACATTTATCCATGCCCATACTTGAAGACTTTGTCTCTTCATTTTGATTTTTGATTGATGTGTAGTCCATTGATTTGAATACACACCTCCTGATGGTCAGTAAAGTTGTTACTACATTGTCACTATTATGGATGAGCCAGTCAGTATCTTCACCATAAATGGGATCTTCAATGCAGCTCTTTCACAGAGAAAATAAGTTCAAGTGAACTTAATCACCTTTGGTGTTATTTGGGGGGAAGATAATGGGCTTTGAAATTGATCTGAGTTCAAATCTTTGTTTTGCTTTGTGTTAGCTCAATGACCTGAGTAAAATTATTTACTTTCTTTGAGCCTCAGTTTCTTATGTGCAAATATGCAATAATAACATTACAATTGCTTGGTCTAAATGTGATACTATGGGGCCTGGCCCCTAACAGGTATCTGATGAGTGTTAGTTCTCTTTGTTAAAAATCGACTCTACCAAGTGTTGACTAGAATCTGGAGCAACACAGACATTCACTGGTGGTGGGGAAATTCACTTGGGAAAACATGTTAATAATTTCTTAAAAAGTTAAATATATACCTACCATATGACCCAGCTATTCTACTCCTAGAGAAATGGAAATATGTCCACACAGGGACTTGCATGTGAATATTTAAAGCAGCTTATTCATATTAGCTGGAAAACTGGAAACAACCCAACTACACATCAATAGGTAAAGAGACAAACTGTGGTGTATCCATGCAATGGAGTACTTCTCAGGAATAAAAAGGAATAAATTACTTACACATACATAACATGGGTGAATCTCAAGATAATTATTGCTGAATGAAAGACGCCAGACAGACAAAAGTATGAAAGTGTTTATATAAAATTCCAGAAAATGCAAACTAGTCTTTGGTGACAGAAAACAGATCAATGTTGCTTGAGAATGAGGGGAGGGACTCAAGAGGAAGGAATTCCAAAGGAGCATAGGTTTTGATGAATAGGATCCCTATTCATTGTGGGTATGGTTTCAGGTGTTAGCTACTATCTTTTTTAGCTCTCATGAGACCTTTTTTTCAAAGTTTGTACCTATTTTTCTGAGGCAATATGTGACATTGCATGCTTATGTAGTCCATATATACATATATATTTAGGTTTGTGCATGTGTGTGTGTGTGTGTGTGTGTGTGTGTGTGTGCACATGTGCACACACATATCTTCTGGATCCAGGTCAGTAGTGATCATCTGTGTTCCTGGAAAATTATAATTGACTGGAGCCCAGTGCAGGGCTTGAACTCAAAACCCAAAGATCAAGACCTGAGCCTAGGGGCGCCTGGGTAGCTCAGTTGGTTAAGCGACTGCCTTCGGCTCAGGTCATGATCCTGGAGTCCCGGGATCGAGTCCCACATCAGGCTCCCTGCTCAGCGGGGAGTCTGCTTCTCCCTCTGACCCTCTTCCCTCTCATGCTCTCTATCTCTCATTCTCTCTCTCTCAAATAAATAAATAAAATCTTTAAAAAAAAAAAAAAACAACCTGAGCCTGGATCAAGAATCGGATGCTTAACTGAGCCACCCAGGTGCCCCTAGAATTAACTTTCCCTAAATTTATTTTTTTAAGGTTTTATTTATTAGAGAGAGTGCGAGAGAGAAGGAGCAGGAGAGGGAGAGGCAGATTCCCTGCTGAGCAAAGATCCCTGACATGGGGCTCAATCCCAGGACTCCAGGATCATGACCTGAGCCAAAAGCAGATGCCTAACTGACTGAGCCACCCAGGCGCCTAGAATTAACTTTCCTTAATGAAAAAATTAGTCTAGGTACTTTTGAGGGTTGTTGTCATGCTAAAACTTCAGGTCCCAAAGTTGAAAATTAAACAAGAACAAACTAAGGCACATATCCACATATTTTAAAAAGTTTACAAGCCTTTATTTAGTGTTAAAGCTACATTTTGCAAGTATTTTGGCTAATACTAATTAGCATGCTAATTATGGCTTTAGAAAGTGGATTTAGGAGAGCTAAACAATGCCTAGGATTCTTTTTTTTTTTTTTAAGATTTTATCTTTAATCTTTACACCCAGTGTGGGGCTCAAACTCATAACCCCAAGATCAAGAGTTGCATGCTCTACTTACTGAGGCAGCCAGGCACCCTAGCCTACAGTTCTTTTTATCACATAGATGTTACTTAATTAGTTATAAGTTCTGTTGAAATCAAATAATTTAGCCAAGTAGGTACTTTTTTTTTTTTTTTTAAGATTTATTTGTTAGTGAGAGAGTGTGCACAACTGGGAGAGGAAAGGGAAAGAGAATCTGAAGCGGACTCTGCGGAGCGCAGAGCCCGACCTGGGGCTCGATCTCATGACCCTGAGATCAGGACCTGAGCCAAAACCAAGAGTCAGACAGTTAACCAACTGAGCCACCCATGCACCCCTAGCTAAGTAGGTTCTAAGAAATAAATGGAGTTTGGTTATTCTAGTATTTAATGTCCTGCTTTGATATGTAATACTTAAAGTCAGAGAAATATTAATGGGTAGTTAACATTTGTGTTTATAACATTGTACTTGTAACTATAAACATTTAAAAATGCTTCCTGATTTCTTGAATGCTTACATTGTGTTGTTTTCCCAGGATGACTTTTCGCCCACAAGCAAGCTTCAGCGTTTGCTGGCAGAGTCTCGCCAGATGGTTACAGACCTAGAGCTGAGTACTCTGCTCCCCATCAGCTCTGAGAATCTCAGCAGCAGTGCCAGAAATGTATGTGGTTACTTTTCTTTTGACCCCATCTGTGTATCTGAATATTCCTCTGAGTATTCATTTGCAAATATCACTGGTCAAGCATCCCTTTCTATCAGAAGGAAAGTTCCTTTAAAGGAACTGGTTTTAAAGATGAGGGAAAAATCACACTCAAATGTCACTGCACCCAAACTTCCTCTTCCTGATTGCCTGGGTTTATGAATATAAATTCTTGGGGATATAAAAAATATACATTTTACTATAGAAAATTTCAAATACAGAAGTAGAATATTACAGGGCACCTGCGTGGCTCAGTTGGTTGGGCATCTGTTCCCTGTTCGGTGGGGAGCCTGCTTCTCCCTCTTCTCTGCCCCTTCCCCCTCCTTGTGCTCTCTCTCATGCACTCTCTTTCTCTCAAATAAATAAAATCTTAAAAAAATAATAAAGTAGCTTTTAAGGGGCACCTGGCTGGCTCAGTCAAAAAAGCATGTAACTCTTGATCTCAGTCATGAGTTCGAGCCCCACTTGGGTGTAGAGATTAGTAAAAAAAAAAAAAATGAAAAAAATAAAGTCTTAGTCACTGACAGGTCCTTCCCCATCTTCCTTCTTACTTCCTCCTCTTTCTTCTCTTTCATTTTTTTTTTTTTTAGATTTTCTATTTATTTGACAGAGAGAGACACAGCCAGAGAGGGAACACAAGCAGGGGGAGTGGGAGAGGGAGAAGAAGCAGGCTTCCCGCGGAGCAGAGAGCTCGATGCGGGGCTCGATCCCAGGACCCCGGGATCATGACCTGAGCCGAAGGCAGACGCTTAACGACTGAGCCACCCAGGCGTCCCCTCCTTCTTCACCTTTTTAATACCATTAATTTGTGGAAGAGACATTGGGTCATTTGTCCTGTAGCATTTCCCACATTCTGGGTCTTGCTAACTGTCCTCACTGTTATTTAACACATTCCCCTATCCTCCATGATTTCTAGGAACTGGTATTTAGATCTAGTGACTTGATTAGACTTGGGATCAGTTTGGGGTTTTTGTTTGCTTTGGCATCACTCCTTCACTGATGATGCCGTCTGCTGCGTATTCCATCATATCAGGAAGATCCTAATATCTGGTTTTGCTACTTGAGGATGTAAAGCTTGATCGCAAATTCAAGAGTTTGTCAGCCTGAGCTTTTATTATCATAAAGTTCACTTAATGATTTTAGCATTCTTTGATTATTACTCAGATCTATTATTTCTTTATTTAAAAAAATTTTTTTTTAATTTTTTATTTATTTGAGATAAAGCGAGAACAGGGAGGGGGGCAGAGGGAGAGGGAGAAGCAGTCTCTCTGCTGAGCAGGGAGCCAGATGCAGAGCTCAATCCCAGGACCCTGAGATCATGACAGGAGCTGAAGGCATATGCTTAATTGAGCCACCCAGGTGTCCCTAGATCTATTATTTCATTAGGAATTGCAAAATAGTCATTCTAAATCTGTCATTCCTTCAGGGAGTGTTTTACAAATTAATTTTAATTGATTTTTCGGAGCACAGTAACATTTCAATAGCAGTGATGTAAGTTGCTTTGTGGATTTTATAGCCTTAACATAAATAGTGAAAAGAACATTGAACTTGAAATCAGGATACTTGGGCTCCATTTTCCTAATCTGTAAAGTAAGAGCTTGGAACTGATGCTTTTAAATTTAAGAGACCAGGTACATTACTTGGGTGTGCTGTGTGCATAAAGATAATTTGAAAGCCATCAAATTAAACTTTTTTGTATCCCTGACTGAAAAACTAAAATAAAAAAGGTCTGTAAGAACACCAAAATACTTCTTTTAAAATCAACTGTTTGTAGCCTTTAATGCATATATACTCATTCTTTAATGAAAACTAGTCCATGGGATGCCTGGGTGGCTCAGTTTAGCATCTGCCTTCAGTTCAGGTCATGATCTCAGGGTCCTGGAATTGAGTCCCGAGTCAGGCTCCCTGCTCAGTGGGGAGTCGGCTTCTCTCTGTTCTTCCTCCCAGCTCGAGTTCTCTCTCTCTCAAAGAAAGAGAGAAAGAAAGAAAACTAGTACGATCACTAGTTCAGTAAGTTTAGATAAATGTATATATGCTCATGTAACCAATATCCCAGTCAAGATATAGAACATTTCCGTCACCCCAGAAAGTTTCTCCATGTTCTTTGGAGTGGACCCCTCCCTTACGCCCACCCCAGGGAACTACCAATCTGATTTTTATCATGAGAGAATAGTTTTGCCTATTCTATAACTTACTATAAATGCAGTCATATAGTATGTATTCTTTGTCTAGCTTCTTTCAATAGAATTATTTTGAGATTCCTCCATGTCGTATATGTTGGTACTTCACTCCTTTTTATTGCTGATCAGTATTCTGTTGTGTGACTAGACCACAGTTTGTCTATTCACCTATTGATGGGACATTTGGGTTTCCAGTTTGGGGCTATTACAAATAAAGTTGCTATGAACATTTTATATAAGCCTTTATTTTTTTTTAAAGATTTTATTTATTTATTTGACATAGGGAGAGAGACAGCTAGAGAGGGAACACAAGCAGGGGGAGCGGGAGAGGGAGAAGCAGGCTCCTGGCTGAGCACGGAGCCTGATGTGGGGCTCAATCCCAGGACCCTGGGATCATGACCTGAGCCAAAGGCAGATGCTTAATGACTGAGCCACCCAGGCACCCCAAGCCTTTTTTTTTTAAAGATTTTATTTATTTGAGAGAGCGAGCAAAAGTGGGGTGGGGGGAGGGGCAGAGGGAGAGGAAGAAGCAGACTCCCCTCTGAGCAGGGAGCTCAGTGTGGGGCTCCATCCCAGGACCCTGAGATCATGACCTGAGCCTAAGGCAGCCGCTTAACTGACTGAGCCACCCTATATAAGCCTTTTTTAAATGGACATATGTTTTTATTGCTCTAAGGCAAACTAGAAGTAGAATCACTAGTTATAGGACAGTCATATGTTTAACTTTTTAATAAGCCACCATACTGTTTTTCAAGGTGGTTTGCACCCTTTACGTCCCTGCCAGCAGTGTGTGCAAGTTCCAGGGGCTCTGCATCCTTGCCAGCACTTGGTTTTGTCAGTCAGCTTGATTTTAGTTAGCCGTCCTAGTAAATGCGAAGTGGCATCTGGTTGCTGTTTCACTTGTATTTTCCTGATAACCTGATGATGTGCCTCTTTTCACATCCTTATTGGCTCTTCACATATCTTCTCTTGTGAGATGTCTGTTCAAACCTTCTACCCATTTTAAATTTGAATTGTTTCCTTTGCTACTGAATTGTAAGAGATCTTAACATAGTCTGCACACATAGCCTTTGTCTTTTGTCAGATATATCGTGAATATTTTCTCCCAGTTTGTGGTTTGCCTTTTTATTTTCTTAAGTGTCTTCTGAAGAGCAGAAAGGTAAAATTTTGATGAAGTCCAGTTTATCAATTTTTTTCAAATGCTCTTTGTACCCTGAGAAATCTGCCTCAAGGGTGTGAATATTTTCTCCTCCTGAAAGTTTTAAAGTTCTGTTTAGGTTTATGGTTTATCTCAGTTTAATTTTTGCACAAGGTATGAAGTAAGGATCAGGCTCATTTTTCTTCACATAGATATCCAGTTCCAGCACCATTTGTTGAAAAGACTGTCCTTTCTCATTGAATTACTTTTGTTGACTTTGTTGAAAATCAGTTGACTGTATGTACAAGGGTCTATTTTTGGACTCTCTGATCAGTTCTATTGATCTGGTTGTTCTCCTTAGACCACATTGTACTGAATATGTAACTCTGTAGAAAGTCTTGAAATCAAGTAGTATACATGCTCTACTTTGTTCTTTTTTGCAAAATGGCTTTGTCTCTCCTAGATCTTTTGCAGGTCTGTAGCACTTTTAGAGCCAACTTGTCTATTTTCACAAAACTACACTCTGATATTCTGATTTCATTGAATTTATAGATAACTTTGGGAAGAATTGACATTTTTTTAAAGCTTTATTTATTTAAGAGACAGAGAGAGCACAAGCAGGGGGAGCGGCAGAGAGAGAAGCAGACTCCCCACTGAGCAGGGAGCCTGATGCGGGGCTTGATCCCTGGACCCTGGGATCATGACCTGAGCCGAAGGTAGATGCTTAACCGACCGAGCCACCCACGTGCCCAAGAATTGACATTTGTGAAGAGAGTATATATCTCCATTTATTTAGGTCTTTCTTCATTTCTCTTAACCGTATTGTGTAGTTTTCATAGGGGTCTTGCATATCTTTTGTTAATTTTATTCCTATTATTTTGTTTATTGATGCTATTATGCATGATACTTTAAATTTCACTTTCTAATTGTCTTTTGATGGTATAAAGGATTGCAGTTGACTTTTGTAAATTGTTCTTAACTAAATTCACCTATTTTGGTAGGTTTTCTTAGGATTTTCTACATAGACAATCATGTCATTTGTAAATAATTTCTTTTTCTAATCTTTAGGTTATGTCTTTTTCTTACCTTACTGCTCTGGCTAAGACCTCCATGTCAATGCTGAATAGAAAAGTGAGAGTGGACATCCTTGTCTTGTTCAGTGAAATTCTCTCTGGTGGGGGTATTGCTTGCGTAGCTCTCCATCATATTGGTATTTTATTAGATTCAGAGTTCCATGGCACTGTTTCCATGTGCCTCAGATGATCTGAAATTAGAACATTAACCGTTTTATTTTATTATTATTATTATTTTAAGATTTTGTTCATTTATTTGACAGAGAGAGACACAGCAAGAGAGGAAACACAAGCAGGGGGAGTGGGAGAGGGAGGAGCAGGCTTCCCGTGGAGCAGGGAGCCCGATGCAGGGCTCAATCCCAGGACCCCAGGATCATGACCTGAGCCGAAGGCAGACACTTAACGACTGAGGCACCTAGGTGCCCCTGTTTTATTATTTTTTTGAAGATTTTATTTTTAAGTAATCTCTACACCCAACGTGGGGCTCGAACTCACAAATCCCGAGATCAAGAGTTGCACACTCCACCAACTAAGGCAGCCAGGCACCCCAAGGACATTAACCATTTTAGA